TGAGAAACCAATGCCAGTAAATGATGAGAGAAAATAGTGGCATTCACAGCCTGCCATAGTTAAGTCCAACTTGAAGTCGATCTTAGTCTTTGTGAAACACTCTCCAGGGTTTAGTTGTGATGCTTCCTCATCTCATCCCTCAGTGTGGAAGCACATTCAATCATTAGTTTTTTAGAGACGTCATATTTTGCAGCTCAAAGAATTGTATGGATTGCATTGATGTTACTCGAGTTAGACAAGGTCCGTGTAACTTCATAAAACTCTCTGGCAATCAAGAACTTTATTTTTTCAAACGCAAAAATAAAGTCGTACATCTTGTTTTCCATTCAACGATTTAATTGAGTTTTTGCAGGTTGCAATCAACTAAACTTTACATTGAGAACTTTAAAATGATTTGTTCAGTACGCCTATGTTACTGCAGACAACATCTCTCTTCCCCTGTAGTAATTCGATACGCTATTTTTTTTCCAGACATAGAACATTAAACACATATTTGAATTTATTTGAGAGAAGTTTATCGTTCCAATAAAATAAAGGGTGTCAATTTCAATAAAAACATGTTCGATACATGTTGCAAAAAGAGTCGATCAAAATTGCCCCAATTTCTACAATAACTGTGTCGACACGGACGACTTCTAATTGAATTTGTCTGGCGGCCTTATCTCACTATCAATTTAAATTAAATTTTTATAGCAAAACTAAAGGTCCAATTTATATCCAGGTTATGTTGATTAAGTTATGAGAAGAAAGTAATCAGTTTAAGGCACGGAAGTCAAAATATGTTTCCCGCAATTTGTTTTATGCATCAATATAGATAAAGCCCTCCAAGCTGATTGTGATAAAGTTCATATTCAAGATATATAATTAGTATTACCACAAAGCATTTCATAGAACAGGTAAATTGCGTCCTTCCCTTTACTTTTAATGTACAATTTCTTATAATATTTACATTTTTCTAATAATTGGATATGCAATTGACACTTTAAATATTTCTTCCACGTTTTTTGATAAAACATTTTCCAAAGGATTGAAAAAGTTATATTTTATTTCCTGTCCAATTTAAAAAGGCGACTTTATGTGAGGCTATGTCACAAAAGGGTGATCATTTTAGCGATGATTCAACAATTTTAGTTGCATAATTTGGTTTAGACATATAATGTTCTTATTGCCATTCCTTCAAACTTGTTGAAGAGTATGTGATTTCCAATCTGGAAAATGAAAAAGAAAAGGGGCCGAGTCATGTCATCTTATGTGTTGAAAATAATGAAAAAGTTGTCTGGCATTAGGTCACAGTGTGACCGATATTACCGATTTACCGATTTCGAAGTGCACATGCGTATAGTGATTACAACTTTCATTTTTTTTGTTATAATTCTTACAATTTACGGTAGTTATTGATATCGTCGTATTTCTTATGTTCGTATGTCATTATAATTTTAGATTTAAGATATTGAAAAAGCTCTACATTTCTTTTCCGATCATAGTAGATATTTTTTAATTAAGAAAATAGATAAAATATGTTATTAAGAGAGAAAACAAATCCAATCATTACAGTCTGTGAAGGATAATTTTGCATGAAAATATTATCTTTTGCCATATAACATGACAAATTTGAACCAATGTTATATCAGTAAAGACAGTTAACTATCGGCAAAATGCCGAATAAACGAACTCTCGAACCTAATGTGTCGTGCTGTATATACCTGATATTGTCAAGATAATCCCACTCTGAATATAATATTGATATGAATATATGAACATTTTTAAAAATATGATTAAGAGAGAGAAAGTTTTTGTTAATGAGATGAAAGAGAAAATTAAAGAGAATGATGAATCACGATTTATATTCTGAGCGTTGCGGTATACATTTTTTCGCTGATATCAGAATCCTCATCTGCGCATTCATCATGTTAACACTAATGAAAAATAGGCCTATATTTTTGCTTGAATTACCTGTCCAATGCCTGAAACTTGATTTTATGTAAACATCCATGTAGAGGCATAACATCAGACTCAAAGGTCCATTAGCCTTTTGTAACGGTTTAGTGCGGGCTTTTGAAACTATACATTTCAGATATTAAGTAATTTTCCTTTTAGTTGTGGTTATTTTACCTGACTGCTAAGAGAGCATCAATGTTTGTTAGTGAGTATCCAGAGGACTGACGGCTTTAGGTCCTCTCCGAGAGACCTATAATGAGGATATAATGCCTTACCTAAAGGGCACTAGCGCATCGACTTGGTTTCGAACCCGGGTCGCTGGATTACGAGACCACTGCTCTACGAACTGAGCTATCGCGTGATTACTCAAAATGTCAAGATATATCTATTAATATCACCCACACACACACACGACACACATACATACACACACACACACTCAGAGATTATCATGATAGTGATATAATTATTGAGCCCAAATATAACGTTGTTTTATCTTCTTCTTTTTTAGCGGTTTCCCTGAAGGGATCTCATAGAAAGAACTCTTGCGGCGCAACAACATTTTGCAAGCCAAGACAATCAACTACCTTCTGATAGAGTACTCCATCTGTTTCGAGTACATCATAGAGTCAACAATTTTGGCTTATGAATATTTAACAATGAGTCATGAGACTTGTCTTGAACATCGCGTGCTTGTTGTTAGCTAGAAGCGCGGGGCTAACCGTGCGAGATAAAGAGGATGATCTGTCGGGGAGGGCCTGGCGACAGATTTGCCCACGGTCCGTAGGGAACGCAATGATATGGGCTGGAGTGGTTTCTAGTGGCATAAACACTCGCCACATCAACGTGTCAAGATGTTCTCCCCCGGGAGACCTACCCGAAGATCAACGGTCTGCGTGTTATCGCGCACAGAATAATTGCGGCAAAAAGCTGTCGAAAGTTCCAGATTTTAACAGCATTTTGGCAAAGGGAAAGCCGGAAGATGACATTAAATACACCACAGATTACTAAGATACGATTTTGTCGCCTTGGAAACCTATAGACTTTAAAATGAACTTTTAAACCGAAATTGCGTTTTCCAGACCTGGTGGTTATACCATCGAGAGGAATATGCTAATCGATCGGTGTTCGAATTAGACTTTCAGTTTTCACAAATTGCCATTATGAAAAATATATAATTTCCCAATATATACGAACAAAACTAGAAACACACACACTGTACCTTGGTGATATTTTTCTCGAAAAAAAATGAATTTGTGGTTATTTTCGGCATATCTTCCACCAAGTCTTTTGGCAAAAAAATAATCTGAAGACTCTTTCGACATTGACTCTTGAAATATTAAATTCCACCAAATCAATTTTTTAATATTTTTTAATTGAATAAAATCTTTCGAATAAAGAGACTTTCTATATTATGCATTTTGAAGATGGTGTCTCTAACATTTGCAAACGCGTTTTTTTTTTCCTTCTTTTTTTCTCTTCAAAATGATTATATTTTTCAAATCCTCATAACAAAATAAAAAATTACCTGTACATAATTATCCCACGAAATACATCGACGTAGTATAGTTGCTTTTGGTGTCCTTTGCAGCATACGTTAAGTTAATTTGAACTGAATTTGTTTGTTTTTTTGTTTTTTGAAAGACAGTGAGAAACCTATTTACGTTTATTAAAATTCAAAACACGAGTAGTCCTGCTACTATAGTCAAAGCTGTCATTATGAAAACAGGTGAACAGCCTGCACAATATTTAGCCTGGTGGCTTAATATGACAGGCACCAGCATCTCAGTCATTAAACGGCTGGCTTTACGTCTACTTTCTGGCAGCCAATCACAGCCCGTCATTTATTCGCGATTATAATGTCTGATTTCGGCTTTCTGTTCAATCGACTTTGCAATACCAATACACTCTTTAAATACTATATAGTGTACATATGAATACTCTTACATTACAATACTCTCCCTTCAACTTTGTTTTCTCTTTTATATAGATTTTTTATATAAAGTATTGCTTTCCCAAGAGTTATTCAAAAAATATATACCTTTCTCCCAACCAAACCTACCTGTATTAGATAATTGTCATGAGTGTTGGTGTTTGTTTTTTCCATGTTAATCCGTAAATTAGAAAGACAGTTGAATCAGAATTTGTTTTCACGTTTTGAAAATACATATTTATTTGGAGGTGTTGTTTTATGTTCTAATATAAATTCATATTGTCTAAAGATTGGTCGTATGTTTTGAAATACATTTCTATTGTTTAAGGATAAATATGGTTTTACGTTTCAAATATATTTGTATTGTTTAAATATAATGGCTGTATGTTTTGAAATACAGTACATTTATTATCGTTTAGAGATACGGTTATACGTCTTGCAATACATTTCTTTGTTTAGATATATATATATATATATATATATATATATATATATATATAAACGATGTCGGTGATAATTATACAACTGAAAATGGTAATCGATAATAATGATAATAATAATAATGATAACAGTTTATGTATTTATTATCATTTTAAGATTTACTATGGAGTAATCACATTCAATAATTTAGCTTCATATTTTGTTAAATGGAATCTGATATTATCTCTATAACCACCCTTTACACCTTGGCTTACTCATGTATTACCTCATTCTTTATGTATGTTTATCATATGTTTATGTTTTTCACTGTCCTGTAATATTTCATTTATATATTTGTATTGTATTACTTTGTAACCAGTAGAAACCAAATTTCCTAATATGGATAATAAATTATTATTCTTACTTATATTATACTTACTTATACATCCACTCCTGACGACGGATAATCAACCTGTTCGAAACGTCGAGCCACTCATCCTCTCCAAGCGCTATAGTTCTCCTTAAACTATAAGCTAAGAAAGATAACAAACAGTCCTTTTCAGGACTACACACCCCCAAGAAAGATTTTCAGGACTCCTCAATCCTCTCTCTCTCTCTCTCTCTCTCACACATGGTGCACCCGCGAGCCTACTGTATACTTACTTATGTATGCGTTGACGTTTTGAAAACCATTTTTATTTGATTAAAGGTATGGTTTCAGAACAGACGAGCTAAATGGCGTAAAGCAGAGCGAACCAAGCAGGACCGAGGACCGTCATCAACTTCAAGCCCGGAGAATGATGATAGATTATCGTCGAGTGAGGGAGCTGTTGGGCACTCAAGAGAGGAGATAAACATGAGCCCTGGGGCACCCTCCGAAGACGCACGGAGAGATAAAAGTACAGTCGATGTGAGTACATTTATGTCAACTAATCATTCATTTATTTATTCATTCATTCATGTATGTATTTAGTTAGTTATTTATTTAGTCATTAATGTATTTATTTATACCTATTTTCTTGTGAGTGAATTTATTTCCACTAATCATTCAGTTATTCATTCATTCTTCTATGTATTTATTTAGTCTTTTTTATGTATTTATTTATACATGTTTTCTTTGAAAAAGCAGGCTAGTCCCATTCAACATCACAAAGGCCCTGCTAATTCACAATAATATTACATAAACTATAACAATTTTTTTTTAATTAATGGTAACGACATTAACAGCTGTTGAATGAAAAGAAAAAGCAAACAAAATATATGTGATATATACAGAGCAAAAGAAAAAAGAAAAGGGGAAAATAAATCATATCATGAAAAACGTATCCGTCTATATCTAGACTGTTGCCGATCAAGTTCGATTTTGTTTAAACCTCTTACCATGAAGTGATCGTGATAATTTGATTTTTTTTTCTTGATTTTTGATTTTTATAGGGTGATAAATCGGATTCACATCACGACAATGAATCGCCCCTACATAGCTTGGATAGAGCGCCATCTGGTGGGCGCCTGATGCCTCCTGCCTTTGCGAACCCATCTGCAAGTACGATGCTAAACCCGTTTTACCATCCTAGCGGTGCCGCTCGCTTGCTGCTTGCTTCACAGCCATACGAGAGGTAAGCTTTCAATCCATCTTCAATTAAGAAAAAGTTATTTGTGATAGTTGTAAAGCCATTAACACACCTTCATATACTATTATTTAGCCCCTTTTACGAACCAATAGTTTCTCTTCTTGTAAATGTAAACACATTGTTCGAAATGTATTACTGCAATGGTACTGGTAAATATATCGAATCGAATCAAAATTTAATGTTCAAATTAGGGTAATTTTTTTAATAAGTGCGGGTTAATACGCTACACCTCTCACAGAGAGTACGATATGAACCTGGTGTTTTAGTATACATACACAACTGGTAATCTACATCAGCATACAAATCTTCGAAATAGGCTGCATGGCCCTTTGAAAACTATAAGTAGAAGGAAAAAGAGGAAGAAATGTTTGTATTAACATTTCTAAAATGTGAAATGCTCCCAATGGCAGGTTTATTTTTTACCGACATGACTACCGCCTGCTGTAATGTATTTTCTTTCTGTACCCCAAGCATCATCACGCTTGCGTCAGAAGTTGGTGGTGCATTGTGGGACATGGCTGTCGACAGGTTAATCTGAAGTAGCGTCAGTAGAATATCCTGCCTTTTAATAATATATCCTCCTTTTTTTTCTCTTGTTATAGTATGAGAGGACATGGTACTCCTACACGGTTCCCGCCCCTCATCTCACCATCGTATGCCTCTCAACTCATGTCATTTGCTTCAGCCAGAAAAGGTTGGTATAAAACAGCCGATCCTTAATTTTATCCTACTTTTCATCAGTCATTTGCCTCATTTTCCCGCTATAGTCCTCTTGTATCAAGGACAATAGTGTGACTAGTTTCCTGGCTAATTTTGTCGGTAACGTCCGAACTGTTATTGGTAGAAATTAAATCAACAGAATGTCATAGAGTTGGTGACAAAAATGTGAAAAGTACCAATAATATGAGGGGAAAGGTTCATCGTTTCAGAATGTTGGGTAAAGAGATAAATATTTGTTTTCATGCTCTATTCGTAATGTGATCAAGAGTGATGGATTCACAACGCTATCTTAGATAGATATCAATCTACTTTTAAATTTTAAAAATCATACGTAATTGAAAGAAAAGAAAACTGTAATTATTTCATATTTACTAGATGTTTTTAAACACTTGAGAGTCATTTTTCATAAAGGGATCTTGTAACTTTGTTTCAGATTCTGAAACAAAATTCTGGATTTAGCTCATGCTGCAATGATAATTATAAACCTTTAGGTCATTCAGGAACCCCGTGAATTTTACAAGCTGATCGCCTGTCTGATTATCAAGATAAATATGATTGGAATTACAGATTTTGAAAACCGTTTGCCAAACGGTTTTCATAACACTACAGTCTATTGGGGAAAATGAGTATGGTAAAACCGGTCACTCAAAGATTTTTACTTTTTTGAGGCACTTCTTGATCATTTTGAAGCGCGATTTTTTTTTAGGGCTTCAATATTACACCATATCACAGACACTGATAACACGTAGGGCCGTGTATCTCAGATTTAACATTGTTAAACGGTCCCTTTAAAATACTTTCCTGATCTTCTTTCTTCAGATCCCGTGCCTACATCAGGGAGCTATGGTGGATTCAATGTTCCAACTCTCAGAGGGCCTCTTGATTCCTCATCCGCCATCTTGAGAGAACATGAAAAACGCACCCTCAGCCTAGCTGCACTACGCATGCGCGCCAAGGAATACTCCAACGCTATGGCTGAAGCTGCTGGTCTAATGACGTCATACAAGATGGCGCCGCCCCATCCGGCAATTCTCTTGAGCGCCAGCGCCGCTTCAAGACCGAATTCATCGCACGTTCCGTGTTCATATTGACGTCCAGAGACGCTTAGCAGCATAGAAGACTCGTCATCACGGTCGTTAGAGTGAGGCACGACGCCATGTTGGTCCTTATACCTCCTTAACAAAGGATATGGACAATGACAATTTCTGATGAGCAGGATGCATATCCTTGATGAATACACTGAATTAAACTGCAGGAAGATATAATAGAGCTCCTTCTAAACTCTGTTATATGAGACAGAAGAATCACTGAATCACTTCAGGAGAAAATCAAAGTGTGGTCTATTATGATGTGTGTGGCGGAGAAGTGTTGTGACACAACAAAGAGGGGGAGAAGATCTTCCGTCAGTCCGTAGTCTCGATTAGGCCCAGGAATTGTTATTATTGGCATTGACTGGGGGAGGCTTACTTCGTTCCAGCGGGTCTTCGGGTCTTCGGGTCTTCGGCTTACACGAACTTCGTGACTAATCAAGCCCTGATTCCCGAAGTGTTGGGCGTAGCGTTTGTGAAATACATCCAGTTATTGCTTAAGTATTGAGTCCAGTTTACTCGACACTTTCTGTAGAACATACAGCCACGCTACGAAAACTTGTGTCTCGACCCGACACGTTCTAATACGAGATAAATATTTACTAGGGTTCGTAAAAAGGACAGCGATCGACATTTCGTCATTGTATGGAAAAGTTTGCTTGAAGTATAACGTATAAAGCCGGTTTAATATGAAGATGTTGAGTTCACTTTTTCAGTTTCAAACGGCCTAAAAGTTGACCGTATCAACTACAACTATATCTTCACTAAATGATTGTTATGCTCATTCACAAATACACAAAACTGCTATCCTTTTTCCTTATTAAGATATTAAGTGATAACCGATTGTGACGTCATGATAACAAAACACCACTTTCACTGACTGATTTGTAATTAAATGCACAACTTTATTATACATTTAAATGTTGTTTGAATGAGTAGAAACCCATTTTGAGTACAATATGAAAATGAACAGTACCTCACATATGAACAACACAATTATTTGCACTCGACCGTTTTTTCTTAAAAGTTATTAATATTCTTTTAAGATAAAAATCACGCATTGTACTATAATCACTGGATTGGAACCTTAAAAAAAGACAAGTTTGTTACCAACTAGTTAGTGCCAATATTTATAGTGTACTTTAAAAATGAAATTTCTTCATCTTTCAAGAAGATACAGCAATGAGATTAGTTTCGAATTTTATATTTTCACTGGTCATTGAAGTAAATACCATTCACTTTGTTATGCTATTACATTACTTACACGCTCCCAACATTTTCTTTGACTGTGTGCTATTTGTAATATTCATGCACAGTGCATTAATATGAAACTATAATTTGTAAACATGATCTATCATTTCAGAGCTTTTGCTTTGAATATTAAGAACCTTTGATGATAGAAGTAGCTGTAGAAAAAGAAAACATTTTCGTCTATAATCAGATGCTATATATAAAATGTACATTATGTTGATTTATTAAATTTCGATCAGGAAAATGCGTGGTTAATGAAGCATCATTTATTATCTTCTGTTTACCTGGCATATTTTTTCATTAATTAATTTGGATTTGAATTTATTTTCAATAAAATCTAAAACACTAAACCCACTACTCTTAGCTATACTTTAAAGCCAGGGTATTCTACCAATGTCGCGATGCTGCTGGAATTGCGCCATCTTTCGGTTAAAGCATAAACAGAACGATTTCCGGTTCCTACCACTGAACTATAACACTACGTAGAGTTCAGTAGTACCTATACCCAATCATCATCATGCGAGCTTCATGGAGTCGGTGATGCATGATGGGACATGGCTGTCGACACGTATACTCAAATCTAAATTAGTATCTGTAGAATACACTGCCTTTAAGAATCATGAGAACAAGTAAGTGGAAACGGCAATGAGCAACTAGAGACTCGCTAACAGAGCCTACAACAAACGTACGTGTCTTGACTATCTATCTATCTAAGTATCTTCTCCCGGTTCGGAGGTTGATTGGAACATCTCTCCATTTCAATCTATCTTCTGCCATTACGGTGCACTCTTGCAGTTTTAGTCCACTCTAGTGTCTTGACTGCGATACAGATATTCAGTACTTTTACAAATCTAATCGATACAATAGCCTACATAGAAGACGTTTATTTCTTATAGCAGCCCAAAAATTGCTATGAGAAGAAAAGAGGGGAACCGAGGACGTGACAATATAGAAAGCGAGAGATATATATAAAGTGAGTGATAAAGAAAGAGAGAGCAGGAAAGAAAGAGGGAGAAAGTGAAGTATCGAGGGGGATGTACATTTAAAGGAGAGGATGGAGAGAAAGGGAGACAGAGAGAACAAGGAGGGGGAGACTACGAATCTTTATCAGTGACTCCGGCTGCTGAAGGATCTTGTATGGGGGCGCCCTTCCCGCCGAATGTTGTTTCTGAGTAGAATCTGTCGTTTTTACGGAGTGTGCCATGAAGCCTGTCAAATATCATCGTATTCACTCCAAAGTTACAATGGAAGTACCTATGAAGAAAAAAGAGATGAATAAAAAGTTTCAAGAGCTATTGAAAGAAAATACATGTGACACATTCTTACATTGCGTTAAAAGTGACTCGGTAACATTGCCTCAGATTCTAAAATAAAATCCTAGATTTAGCTCATGCTGCAATCATTATTATAAACCTTAAGGTCAGTCAGGAATCCCATGACTTTTACACGCCTTTCTGGTAGTGTTGCCATGGTAATTCATATCGATTGCAAAGTTACCGTCAGTGGTATGTTTTATACAACGGGGCCGAATTAAAGGTAAAGACCAGTATTGGAAACGCCCCAACCTCAAAAAATGAAATGGAAGCTCTCATTACCAATCATGTGAAAGAATATGTTTTGACTAATACATGATTATAAAAAATTGGCCGGGAAACCGCCTACTAATTGATATATTTGTTAATTTATTATATCTATTTGACTGTGAGAGATATAGGGTAGTCCCATATACATCTTTCTGTATATAGTGCTTGTAACTTTACGAAGAATGGGCCAAATTTCTTATCATTTTGATGATTCCAGAACCTTGCAGATGCTAGATGCTAGATGATCAACCTTTTCTGATCGATTCCACAACGTTTCTTTCACAATGCAATCGCATGACCATAACTGGTCTTTAACTTTAACAGAAATCTATGGAACGATATTTTAAGAGATAATCGTAATTACTTGTGATGGTCGTCATGGAAGATGACACTTGGTTGCCATGGTAACATCGAGTGGAGGTCAATGCCCGAGTGTGCAAGGATGCCGTAGTAGTATCCGTATATTAGCCAGAACAAGAATACACCTGTATGAAAAATGCGATAAAGCAAGTGTACCACTATACATCTTTGTCAATTTGATAGGAATACTACCAAAAATGACACATAGAAATAATCTTATCTTTAATAATGTGTAAACTGTCAAATTTGTTTTGTTGTAAATAATGTAATTGAACTATTGCAATTTGATATTGTTTCCAGATATAATGTCTTCCCCTTCGCTATACTGTTTGTTTTCGGTATACATTTGAATATGTGAAATTTATAAATTCAATTCAATTTTTAAAAATTCAATACCGTTACTGATGACGATGAGGATATTAAAGAAAAACTAGAACACGAATGATAATGATAATATAGAGTAAGGAGAAAACCCGGTGTAGTGGTCCACCTGCACACCCCGAATTAGTTATACCGGGAGGAGAGACCCAAGGGTTACACTAATTCAGTTTACTTTTGGCCTCTCATGCACAGGTGACGCCAATACTTAAAGGCCCACTGCACTACTTGTAGCTACTTGCGCCCTCTATATAACAAACAATGTCTAATCGGTGACCATTGGTCCCCCATGATCCTCTTTTTCTTATGTTAACTGAGAGCTGAGTTTATGAGATAACCACCTGTCCAGTGACCTTGCAGGGCGGTCTAATCCCTCCTGTAAACTACGGCAGATAAGCTTTAATACTAATAACTTTGAACGAAATAAAGCACAAATTATTGTCACCGAATCACATTTCGGATCATACATGGAAGAGATCCTTTAAAGACGTTTCATCGAGCTGTCGCCATTTCAAATTGAATTACATCTCTTTCTACGGATCTTCTCATATCTTCATTGCCTTTTATGTTCCTGCCTTAAGTTTATTTTAACAAACGTGGAAACAAAATGTATATTTAGTCCTGAACAAGCTACTTTTTTGTATTGGATTACGTCAAAATAACAAAGAATCAACCATAAAGGTACATTATGTTTGACTCACTTCGTTACAAGGTGGTTTTCCATTTTTTTTTTAAACCAACATGATGTCAGAATAGACTCTTCATTCAACTGGAACCCTCCACCACTAGCTGCCCAATCTAGACCAAGGTACTGACTCGTTGGAAGGTGTGCCCTGATTGGTTAAGTCTGAGTGTTCCTACAAATGAGTTGCGATCAGACGCAGCTTTAGAAAGTACCTGAAGTCTTGATCTGATCGGCCTCTTACAAGGTTTGTTTCCTTTTTGGCCGCTGCCTTCCTCACTTGTATAATTCATCTAATGTATTGTCATACATTTGTCTGTTTATATAGGTATTTTATCTATTGATCTATGAAACTGAAACTGAAACGGATTAGTTGTTAGGTCGCATTTAAGTTTAGAATCGCGTTTGATCGCATCTTCTTATGCCGTTGAGTATTATGATTAGCCAATCAGATCAAGGTATCATCGCTTGATTGTAAAATGGTGCATTCTGACTGGCTAATTTTTAGATCGTCGAGATCACGCAATAGAGTTGATTACCTGCGTGCAACGGGACCAGGAAGATGGGTATCTCGAGGAGAAACTGGAAGATTATGAATTCATATGGATGCATGGCAGCAGCTGACCAGGGGGTAGGAGCCTTGAATCGATGATGAACTTTGTGATGACGATAAAAGATCGGATGATGCATCATTCGGTGGGGGTAGTATATAGATACTTCGTTGTACAGGTAGTTGATTGGAATGGAGAGGAGAAAGTAGACCCACCCATAGTCTTTGATGCTGTAATACAGTTTGGTCTCTCCTCCATTCATGATGTAGGTTACTAAAATTCCTTGGAGAAGCAAGCAAAGCATGAGATGAAGATTATAATCGAATTGTAAATTGATTTTAATCAAAATGAGACTTACGGCTTTTTACAGACGTTTAAAACTGAAAATTGATTATTTGCATCGGGGACCGACTTCTAAAGTCATCATCCTAAACAAGCAACTCATTTTCGAACCGGGATTATCAGAATCGGTTTAAATAGTTAAAGAAAAAGAGCCGGCCATTAGACCAACTCAAACCCTCTTTTGTTTGTCTCTTAAAGCAGGATAGGAGTGATAAAAGTTCCTCCAAAGCGAATGGATGACTATTTGAGTTTATGCCTCGAAATCCTTACCCGATAAAAGTGAACCGATTGCCATGTTCAGCGATCCCAACCAAAATTCTAACCGGTCATCCTCGGGTTGTAAAAACCGATCCGGTTGACATTTCCAGTCTGCTGCCCCCTCACGACGTTGGATGTAGTAGTACCATTTCAAGTAGCCACCGACTCCATAGAAGATGAGAAAAGCTCCAGTGAAAGATTGAAGAAGATAAAATCCTACATCCTGTCAAAAATGTAATAGATGGGCAACCATTATAAAAACAAAATATTTTTAAAAAACAGTGATCAATCATACGTGTTTTAATAGTCTAAAGTTGCAAGAAATGGTTTGTAATTTGGAAAAGTTTATTTGTATTATTGACTTCACTGTGAGGTAAGACTCAAGCAAAGATCATAAACGTGTCTTAGCATGGAAACCATATAAGCTACAGTTATATAGCATCATGCAATGTTCTCTCGATCAATCCATGAACGAGATATCTTCGATGAGAGCTATGAAAGAAAATAATATCTTCTAAAAACATTTTTTGTGCAAATCATGCCTAACCTGTGATGTCACACATCTCAGCAGCGTTCGGAAAGCTCTCCAGGTGCTATGCCAGGCTGAATTTAAGTGTTTCTTTAAAAGATAATAATCATTCCTTCGAATGTTTCCAAGCATTGAATTTTGATTAAATTTTCCAATCAAAGTTTCGCCTTTGCAATAATGAAAATAAAGTTGTTGTTTTTTTATCTTCGAAAAGCTCCTTTAAGAAACGATGATGCAAGATTACATACCTTCATGTAATATCCGCCAACGCCTACAAAATCATGATTGGTCACGTTGTCGATGTCGAAGGAAGTATGTTGAGCCGAGATCGTTCCCCGTGTGGTATCCCCCTGCCAGAGTCTCTTGACTTGGACGTACATAAGTAACCAGTCTCCTATAAACCAGTATGTGTAACAAAGAACAGGGTTTATCATGGATTCCGCGCAGGCATTTATGTTTTGTTTGTTTGTTTGTTTTGTTTTCGGGGGCTGTTTTTTTGCTTTTTGAGAGATATAATGTATTCGTTCCCTGCCTTGGACAAGTCATATTCTATGTTATGTATAAATAAAGTTAAATAAATTACATACATGTCGCTCGCAACTAGTAATTTTGTTAAGAGGACTTACTTTACAAAGCCCCTGTCATGCCTGTGGCCTTTTATAAGTTTCTTTTTTTTCTTCTCATTTTCATATTACCTATTTGAGTTATGAATTCATCATAGCACAGTTATTTAGATAATTATTCATATATATGCAAGTATTTTGAGTAGGAACCTGATGTATTTTTTAATGTACTGCACTGTATATTTGGGTTTGGGTTAATCTGAAAATGGAAATAAAACGGACGATGGTATTTTACTATCACTTCGACTGTCAAGATAAGTATGTCATTCATGGAAATGTGCGATACTTTCTGCGACAAAATCATAAGACATAACTTATATAAGATAAGATATACGATATATTCCCCTGACGATTTGCAATGTTGTCTAGCAGTTACTTTTTGTCTCATTTTATCTACCCGTATCTAGAGGCAATCAGCACAAGTGTGTACATGAAAATAACCATGACCTGGTCTTTCAAGATATGTTGAGGTCACATTCAGCTTGAAACTTGGTTATCTTGATATCATTGCAAGTCAAACGGTGTAACCCTTCTGTATTTGAATTGTATTGCTCGGTATATATGAGATCATTAAATAATTTATGCCTTTTTTCAAATACCATTCATATAACGATCATGAATGTTTATCAGAATGGGGGTGTTTTTACATTTACATTACGGTAATGATCACTTCAAGAGGGGAGATAGAGAGAGAGAAAGAGAGAGAGACGGGAGGCGCAATGAGATCGCCGTCTGGCTCTTACGACTTTCGTCATGCGCGTGGGCTCGAGTCCCGGATACGATACCACTGCTCTACCACTGAGCCATCGCGTCACCTCTCATGAAAATCGTGTACAAAAACAAAACAAAATCAGAAACGGAAAAAAAGAATGAAATTTGGACAGTAGACGTCAGCCCCCTCCCCCCCCCCCCCCCCCCCCCCCCTGGGACGCCTATGGATATGGTTACACCTTAAATGATAAGATTAAGACTAAAATATCGAAATTGTACCTCTTAATCCAGTAGCTAGTAGTGCTGTAAGGAGTGTGCCTAGTCCTACAAGCATAGCTGTTCTGATTCGGGCTAGGAGCGAGACTAATTTGCCGATTCTACCTGGCTCGGCCATCATGCTTCTCTAAAAATCGAAATAAAAGAAAATAAACATATAACACATTTTTAAAAGGGGACCAACAAAATATGAAGACACCGGTGATATTAAATCGTAAACAAGGTAGTTATAGACGTGAGTGTAACTTGTATTGCAACTATTAATAACTGCGTTGTATTTACCCAAGGTAGCCACACCGGTATCAAAACTGCTCTTCACGCGTGCCCTGCAATAATTATTATTACCCTAGCATTGCCAGGTACCCATTGACACTTGTGTGGGTATTAATATTAGTACGACGGCATGGCTGAACAATTGTGCACTTTTGTCTGAAATCATCAACTGTGGCACATTTGTGAAGAAACCAATGTTGATCAATAACAAGTGTGGAAGTACTTCCATAAACGGTTCTGAGTGGTAAATGTCCATGAAATTATGATGCTATTCTTGTACAAATCGACACTTTAAAATCTCGCCCATTAAAATACTTACATATACTACAGCTATACGTGGTAAACGGACGCAGAGATCAGTGGAAAAGCGCCCCTCTAATCTAGGGTATGCAGTGTTGGCCAGTATTTTAAGAGCGAGTCTCTTTTGGTTGAGGTTTCCAGTTAATACAAAATATGCAGTGACAGAATTTAATGGACATTCTGTTTGAGAATAACATCAAGGAGGCCTAGATTGTACTTTTCTGTGCCGGCACGATCACTGCTGTAACAAAGAATAAAGTACGTGTCTGCATGCGTGGGTGCGTGATTGTAAAAAACATGCTCCATTTCTTGTTTCGTTTCTTTACAAAATTAAAATGTTAAATTGTATTACTTTTTGTATACCCTTTAGAACTTACGATATGTCAAGTGTAACCAATGCATGTTTTTCAACAGTTTGAATTTGATTCATAATCATTGTATTATAGAATCCTTCATGGTTGATGTCCTGAAAAGAGCAAAAATCATTATCCCACGCATTTTCTGTGATAATGCAAATGTTTGATTTATGAGTTATTCATGAATAGAATCATTATCATTATTAAGTATTTGGCATCATCTGTGCCCGGGTGGCGAAAAGCGAACTGCATTACTGTAACCTTCGGGTCTCTCCTCCTGGTATAACTGATCGGGGGTGTACAGGTAGACCCCGACACCGGGGTTCCCCCTACTCTTATACAAAAAGTGCAGTGTGTTCTTAAAGTACAGAGGTCGCGTGGCCGTGACTCTCCTCTACACGGGACTTCCATTTAATGTTCTATCCGAGGGACAGAGTGTTTTCCACTTAACATGTGACACGTGACGATGTTTGTTCGACAAGCAGACGCGTTACTGGCTGAGCCAACTTGCTGTATTCGTGCCGTCTAGACATATTCAATTCAAGCGACCATTTCAATCAAACAAAACTTTTTATTTCTACATGATCATCATACTTTGTGTTGAAAGATAATAACAATTAACAAAGATGTATTCAGCTTTAAAAACACTGGCCTACCCGGCCTACCAGCCCGCACCCCCCCCCCCCCCCCCCCCCCCCCCCCCCCCCCCCGCAGCGCTCCGTTTATAGACCCCCGAAACTAAAAAGCTATAGACACAAACAAAACACACTCACCCCTCCGAAAGTTCAGTGATAGGGTGCGCCTCAAAAATGTATCAAACCAACAAAAGAAAATCAATCAAGCTATATAGCTCTACAATAGAAGTAGAATGTCTGTGTTTACATACGTGTCGGATCCACGTACATCGGGTTAGCAAGAAAATCTCAAAGCTCCTGACAATATCTGGTCTTGAAATGGTAACAAATTAGGCAATTCCAGATCAGATATGTTCACTTTCTACTATCTTCATTCATCTTTGTGAGGACTGTTCGAAATATTTTCGTCATAAACTGTAATGGCTTGTCTTCACCTCCCCTGTATGTAGTCATTATTACAACCATCAAGGTTTACACTGCGTGATCTTTTAGTTCAGGTGAACGAACTTTTGCCTAATAATAGCTGAGGGCAACAAACTTTTAGACAGATTCTGAACGAATGGTACATTCAATCAGGGAGGTGATAGAGAAGGAGTGGAAACTCTTGTAACTTATTCAAACGCATGCGTGAGTTCTAAAGCGTAACAATGGGATGAGTAACATTCCACTTGGCTTTGAAGTTCCATGCTCCGAGCTGCATTTCCACTGCCAGCGGGGAATTTCGGAGGCCAGGCACCAGTTTCACATTTTTCAAACTACCGTCAAAATTTCAGTGCAAATTATAAACTTTATATGGGGATTGTATTGGGAATAGTGCATCAAACTATTTTTCAAAAAATTTAGAATTCCGCCCTTTTCTATAGTTTGTGTGCCAGAGTTGGTAAAAGAAAAATTAGATCCTGACAAAAAGTCAATTTTTAGGATAAGCCAATTATTTTCCCATGTTTTAATGTCCCGTCATTTAATCTATGATTCAAAATCTTCGATAACTACGTTTGCTAATGCGTGCTTTTGCGTGCTTTTCGTATTTTTTTCAATTAGAAAAAAAATTATGAAATTACACAAGTTTTTGTTCACTTGTTCAACTCATTACACATTCAACAATTAATGAAAAATCATTGGAAGGGACAGCGAACATTTTCTGATGTAGGAATTCTAAATCCTGATATCTAATGCGCCCTTTTATCTCACCATCTGGGGGTGTTTCGCAAAGATCCCAAGTTGAACTTAACATTTATGGAAAGCCGTTAACATCTTTGAATATATTTTGTAAAGTTTATTTTAAAAGGAATAGAAATGTTGTCAAGGAGATTTCGTGTTCTGGATGTGGAATTTATGAAAAGTCTAAAATACTTGTGTTTCTGCTTTTGAATATATTACATTTGAAGGCTACAAATGGCTCTCCATAATTTTAAGTCCAACTTAGAGTTAAGTTTGACTTAGGATCTTTGTTAAACACCCCCAGGTCAACAGTTGCAGATTAGCGCATAACTTTTCGGCGGCTTGGAGCATGGGGTCAAAGGAGAGCGATTTGATTCCACTCATTCTCTTTCACTGTGACCTCCCTGGGGTCAAAATATTCGGAAGGATGGGCTAGACTATCACTTTTCAATTATATTTATTTCATTTTATTTTATTTCAACACGGATCACTTGCTTCAGCCAATGGCTGGTCAAGTCCGTACATACATTAAAAGATATATAAAATAGAGAATAAAACGCAATACAAATTAAACAATTACAACAGCAAAAGAAGAGCGGATTTAAAATCAATTGAATACAATACATGGAAACAAATGTAACGAGCGTCATGAATAACATAATATAATAATTATTAGATACAAATATGAAATGAAATAAAATAATGTAACAGTTATAAAGTTAAACTTCGGAATTGAAAATAAAAAAATAAAAATTGATATATATTAAAAAGTATTAACCTCATGATGCAAGAGATCGAGAATAAAAACAAGAGAATTAGCAAACTAGCAAACACTGATTATAATTATATTAAATAGGCAGCTAGTGTGATTGCACAGCATATTGCACATATTGCAATCATGATTAAATTCTTGCTAATAGTTTTATTTTCTTGTTATATAATAACTTTCACATATTGTCACAATCATTTCATGAACAGAGGTCAGAAAATGTTTTATTCAGGGTGACCCTTTCAATATCGGGTATTGCTCTTCCAAGGGACCCTGTATATACAATGTTTTGTTAAATACATATAAAAACACGAATATATACAAACATCAAAAAAGGAAAAAAAGAATACACAGCAAATATACGAAACCAAGATGTAGAACAGTAATGATAAAAACAGTTGAAATAAAAATCCTTTAGAATTCAATTCATCATTACATATTTTGTATTTCGTTAGATTTTTTTTTTTTTTTTAATTAAAAAAAAAAAAAAAAAATATATATATATATATATATATACTTGTACATTCAAGATTCCAGATAATTTATTGTCTGATTTTAAAAAATACTCAAAATCGTCCTCCACTGGCGAGTGACATACACATACAAGCAACATAAACAATATATACATTCGAGGATACAAAGAAAATACAACAATAATAATAATGATAACAATAATAGCAATAACCAAACTGACATGTAAATTTAAAAACTGACATTAAAAATTGAATCTCGACAATTAAACAATGCACAAAATGCATGAAATAAATATGCTCTGAACGTTTACCCCTTCCCTCCCAGAATTGGAGCATGAAGAAAAAACAGAGAAAAGAACAAATGAGAGAGTAAGAGAGAGAGACGAGTCACATGGAGTAGAAAAGACAGAGGAAATTTGTGGAGAGAAAGAAGGTGATTTTACATTTATGACAAGCCTTTATGACCTTTGACCATAAAGGAACCTTTTAACCGTGAACATAGGCGCCGGAAGTGGGGGGCAGAGGCGGTCTTTTCATGAAGTGATTGTGAGAATATTTATTCTCTCAGAACTTTATTGATAAATCTAAAGAGTCCCAGAGATTGATCAATAGACTTCTTAGAAAATGTATACTTTATCTCTGATGAGGAAATCATCTTGTCACAATCATTCAATGAACAGAGTAAAAATACTTATTCTAACTTTGTGGGTATCAGAGAAAGTGTTGGTCAAGTGGGATGGTGGGGTTGATAAGCGTGAGGCTACGAATATTTATCAGTGACTCTGGCTGCTGATGGTTCTTGTATGGGCGCGCCCTTCCCGCCGAATGTTGTTTCTGAGTAGAATCTGTTGTTTTTACGCAGTGTGCCATGAAGCCTGTCAAATATCATCGTATTGACTCCAAAATTACAATGGAAGTACCTGCAAAGAAAAAAGAGATGTATAAAAAGTTTCAAGAGCTATTGAAAGAAAATATATTTGACACATTCTCACATCGCGTTAAAGACATTTGATTCGGAAAGTTCCGATTTAATTCGGAAAGCTCCGACGTCATTCCAAGGTAGGTTTATAGGGTTCGCACTCCAAGGATCCTTGCAAACGAAACGTATAGCGGACAAAACAGAATACACGTTAAACATTTCATAAATATAAGCATCTTAGAGTACTATTAACATAAATAACATTAACATTTCAAAGATAATATACATAAGTACAATAATATTGAACGAAATAGATTTTTAACATTATTTGAAGGTTTTGGGCTATGGGTAAAGATCGTGGAACTATAAAAAAAAATACAGCAGCAAAACATTGTATATTACGTGTTTTTATGCCCCTTGTAGGCTTAAGCAGACTGATAAGGGCAAATTTTGCCTCCCATTTGCTTCTCACAGAGTGTTTGTAATTGTGCCCTCTCCCTTAACTTTTTTGGTCAGAATCCTGGAACAGCTCTGCCCCTATGTAAGCTGTAAAATATATACCTGTGCCCCGTTGCTTAAAACTTAGCATTAATGGTAACTTTGCCATTAAAGGGAACCTCCATGGAAATCTTGATTTGATTGGCTGTTGAGTGATATTGCCACGGTCTTTAATATTGATGGCAAAGTTACCATCAATGCTAAGCATTATGCAAGAGAACTATACGGAAATTCATTATAAAAAGAAATAATCGTAATTACTTGTGATGATCGTCATGGAAGATGACACTTGGTTGCCATGGGAACATCGAGTGAAGGTCAATGCCCGAGTGCGAAATGATGCTGTGATAGTATCCGTATATTAGACAACACAGGAATACACCTTTATGGAGAGAAAAAAGGCAAAGCAAATGTAACACCATATCTTTAAAGATTTGATATGACTAAAATGACGTATTTTTTACTTTTCAGGATTTTCTCATATCTTTACTGGCAAGTTTCTTTTATTTTCCTTCTTTTTTTCAAACCAACATAATGACAGAATGCACTCCCCATTCAACTGAAACTCTCCATCATTATCCAAGTTAGATCAAGGTACTGACTCTTTGAAAGGCGTGCCCTGATTGGCTAAAATTCTTAGCCTTCCTACAGATGAGTTGCGATGAAACGGAGCGTCAGAAATCAAAAGTACCTGAACTCAGGATCTGTTTGGTTGTTTGAATGTTAGGTTGCATTTAAGTTTAGAGTCGCGTTTGTTCGCATCTCCTTGTGCAGCTGCGTATTATGATTAGCCAATCAGATCAAGGTATCATCAGTTGATCGCAAAATAGTGCTTTCTGATTGGCTAATTCTGTAACGTCATGACCACGCAATAGAGTCGATTACCTGCGTGTAACGGGACTAGAAAGATAGGTATCTCGAGGAGGAACTGGAAGATGATGAATTCATATGGATGCGAGGCAGCAGCTGTCCAGGGTGTGGGAGCCTTGAAGTGATGATGAAGCTTGTGATAGCGACGATACAAGATAGGATGGTGCATCAATCGATGGGTGTAATAGGACGAAGCTTCGTTGTACACATATAAGCCAGGGATCGAGAGTAGAAAGTAGACCCACCCATAGTCTTTGATGCTGTAGTAAAGTTTGGTCTCCCCTCCGTTCATGATGTAGGTTACTAAAATTCCTAGAAGCAAGCAAAACATGTGATGGAAATAATAATTGCAGTCATGTATAGGCGAATTGTAAATTGATTTTGATCAAAAACTGATGGCCAGTTCGTAAGTATTCCTATAGTAGGTCTTTGCATATTGGCATGTCAATGCAATTTGTTTTGTGTGTAGTGAGGGTTGTCGGTTTATGCGTGTGATGTGTGTGTGAGTGTGGTGCGTGTCAGTGCGTCAATTCGCCTTTCTACATTAAAAGTATCAATCAAATTGAATTATTTGGATCGGAGACCTAATTTTTTTACGTTATCGTTCGATGTACGCGATTTGGTTCGAACCGGGGTCCGGTCGGTTAAAAGGCGAATACAGAGAACTGACTATCCGACCAATACCAACTCATATCCTTATTTGTTTGTCTGTTTTTCCCCTAAGAGTACATGTATGTCTTTGTGGTTTTGTCTAAAAACATATTCGTGACTATTTTATGTTATGCCTCTCAATCCAATCCTTACCAAATGAAAGTGAACCGATTGCTATGTTGAGCGATCCCAACCAAAATTCTAACCGGTCATCCTCGGGTTGTAAGAACCGATCCGGTTGACATTTCCAGTCTGCTGCCCTCTCACGGCGTTGGATGTAATAGTACCATTTCAAGTAGCCACCGACTCCATAGAAGATGAGAAAAGCTCCAGTGAAAGATTGAAGAACATAAAATCCTACATCCTGTCAAATATGAAATAAACGGGCAACGATTATGAGAATTTTGCTAAGGTATTTGGTAATGGATGATTTAAATGGTAAAAATGAACTTGTGTTCGATTCATTCTAGTCTTATTCATTTGCATTATGTTTTATTCATTCACGTTCTAATGTTTCTGACTGTTTTCAAGACAATATCTTTTTTGTCGATCATAGTTCTATGTAGCTTGATATCTCACGGTAATTTTGAGAGAAAAGCAATGCAAGCAATGAATTCTGAATTGCAGCGACAATCGCGTTCGCCTTTGTTGTTCTTCAATAATATTTGACAAGCAGTATTAATTAATTTTTCAAGGACTCATGATAAATTCGTTTAACATTTGATTACCCTCGGTTGCATCTTTTGTTCGGATTATTTGGCGGGGGAAAAAGAAGTGAATGTATTATTATTCTTATTTGTTCATCGTCTCTACGATGCTCTTTGAATCAAAAACAGCTTTTAATGTTAGGCTTCCTGAATTTTTTTTTAATTGTTGTTAAGAAATTTTTGGTTGCACTCTGTAGATTATGATGATGTGTTTGATCTTTTTTTCAATACAAGATCAAACATATGATGAAAATCTACTGGCTGCATGCCAATAAGTTCTTGACAACAATGAAAAAATGTGAGCTAGTGCTATTCGGTGTGGCGTACACATGGCAATGACATGGTAGATAAAATTATGATCATCAGTACTAGGTCAAATTAATTAAAGAGAACTGAATTTGAACCCGGGCCATAGGCTACCCCCTCTCGTTCTCTCTCCCTCTCTCTCTCCCTCTTCTTCGCCTCATTTTCCCTCTCTTACCTCCCTGTACATTTGTATGCCTCGATAATACAGAAAATAAACAATAATATTCTTCCTCTTCCCCTCCTTCTTTCTAGTACATGTAGTAGGAGTAGAACTAGAAGCAGTATCACAATAATAATGACAACAATTATTATTATGGTTGGTGGTGTTACTAATGTTATTTTTGTAATTAATATGTTTGTTATTGTGATTATTATCCTTATCATGATTATTATCGTTAATATAAATTATTATTGTAATTATTATAATCATTATTATTGTTATCATTATGATGAATATGAACATGATGATTTTGATGACGATTAGTATAAGTATAGTATTATTATAATTGTTTTCATATCATTATTATCATCTGTATTATTAGCATAATCTACAATGGCAGTAGTGCAGTATAGTACATGTAGAAGTAGACCTTATAGTAGAGGTATCATTCTGATCATTATTATTCTGATTATCTTTTGCAATACGTCTAGACGATAAACTCATGACGATTGACAATTGTCATGAATCATTTTCTTTAAGCTTACCATTAAATGCATCTGGTTCGAATTTTGCTTAGGTATTTGGTAATGGATGATTTAAATGGTAAAAATGAACTTGTGTCCGATTCATTCTAGTCTTATTCATTTGCATTATGTTTTATTCATTCACGTTCTAATGTTTCTGACTGTTTTCAAGACAATATCTTTTTTGTCGATCATAGTTCTATGTAGCTTGATATCTCACGGTAATTTTGAGAGAAAAGCAATGCAAGCAATGAATTCTGAATTGCAGCGACAATCGCGTTCGCCTTTGTTGTTCTTCAATAATATTTGACAAGCAGTATTAATTAATTTTTCAAGGACTCATGATAAATTCGTTTAACATTTGATTACCCTCGGTTGCATCTTTTGTTCGGATTATTTGGCGGGGAAAAAAGAAGTGAATGTATTATTATTCTTATTTGTTCATCGTCTCTACGATGCTCTTTGAATTAAAAACAGCTTTTAGTATTAGGCTTCCTGAAAGAAATTTCAATTGTTGTTAAGAAATTTTTGGTTGCACTCTGTAGATTATGATGATGTGTTTGATCTTTTTTTCAATACAAGATCAAACATATGATGAATATCTACTGGCTGCATGCCAATAAGTTCTTGACAACAATGAAAAAATGTGAGCTAGTGCTATTCGGTGTGGCGTACACATGGCAATCACATGGTAGATAAAATTATGATCATCAGTACTGGGTCAAATAAATTAAACAGAACTAAACCTCTCTCTCCCTCTTGATCGCCTTACTTTTCTCTCCCTTACCTCCGTGTGCATTTGTATGCCTCGATAATACAGAAAATAAACAATAAGATTCTTCCTCTTCCCCTCCTTCCTAGTACATGAAGTAGGAGTAGTATTAGAAGCAGTATCACAATAATAATGACAACAATTATTATTATAGTTGGTGGTGTTACTAATGTTATTTTTTTAATTATCAGGTGGGCTGTATATCGTACAGACGACCTTATAATTTCGTTAGAATTGCCTTTATTTATTTATTTATTTATTATCAGGTGGGCTGTACCGTGTGTCTCAAAAAAACGTAACACTTTTGAAATGGTTGCCAAATTGAGCATATATAATTTTATGAAAAAATGTTGATATGTATGGAAAGCTAAAGGACCAACCTTTCATATGATATGAAAAAATTAAAAAAAAATCATGCTTCGATGGACAGTGTTCACTTAAGTTAGAGGTATGAAAATGGGCCTGCGCAGGATTTTTCCTTCCAATTTTGGACAGGTAAATTACTTGTAACTTACAAAATAAGGTCGATATGAGATATTCATGATCGATGGATCAAAAGGATATTTTGAATCAAAAGGATATTTTGAATACCTCGAATACCATTCCTTTTTCAGTGTTATTTATCAATCCCGAAACACCACCGCCCACCCCCCCCCCCCACACACACACACACACACACTTCCACCCACTCCCATCTCATTGTATCATTGATCTGGTAGATGTGAACGGGATTAAGGAAGAATGGGAAAATGTTAAATTGAAATACCGTATTCAAAATCATAATTGACATTATGCAACCCACTCTCCTCCCCCCCCACAACCTTTTCCCATCCCATCACCTACCCCTTGCCTTTTCTTTATCAGTTTTCTTCCGTAAGTTTGGTGGATCATCAATCACATTTTATTCAGGTTTTATGAATGACCCAAACATGTAATAGCTAAGTACATCATTCATTATGCATTGAAAATACCAGACCCCTTCTCTTTCCCCACATTTGAACTTGTTATCACCTGTCCATGGAATACCGTATGACATTGCATTGTTATTCTTCATTGGCCTGAACACTGAGTAGCCAGAAACTGTTACATAATCCTCTTTATCCAAAATCACTGTTTAATACTAAAACAAAGAGGCAAAAACATGGTATTACACATTTGATTCAAAATATCCTTTTGATCCATCGATCATGAATATCTCATATCGACCTTATTTTGTAAGTTACAAGTAATTTACCTGTCCAAAATTGGAAGGAAAAATCCTGCGCAGGCCCATTTTCATACCTCTAACTTAAGTGAACACTGTCCATCGAAGCATGATTTTTTTTTTAATTTTTTCATATCATATGAAAGGTTGGTCCTTTAGCTTTCCATACATATCAACATTTTTTCATAAAATTATATATGCTCAATTTGGCAACCATTTCAAAAGTGTTACGTTTTTTTTGAGACACACGGTATATCGTACAGACCACCTTATAATTTCGTTAGAATTGCCTTTATTATCAGGTGGGCTGTATCTAATACAGATAACCTTATAATTTTGTTAAAATCGCCTTTATTATACTGTATATCGTACAGATACCTTATAATTTCGTTAGAATTGCCTTTATTTATTTATCAGGTGGGCTGTATATCGTACAGACCACCTTATAATTTCGTTAGAATTGCCTTTATTTATTTATCAGGTGGGCTGTATCTAATACAGACCACCTCATAATTTTGTTAAAATTGCCTTTATTTATTTATCAGGTGGGCTGTATATCGTACAGACCACCTTATAATTTCGTTAGAATTGCCTTTATTTATTTATCACAGGTGGGCTGTATATCGTACAAACCACCTTATAATCAGGTGGGCTGTATAACGTACATACCACCTTATAATTTCGTTAGAATTGCCTTTAGTTATTTATTTATTATTTATCAGGTGGGCTGTATATTGTACAGACCACTTTATAATTTCGTTTGAATTGCCTTTATTTATTTTTTTTCTTTCTTATTTCTAACCACTTTTTTGTAAGCACGATGACTTGAAAATGGCTCAATCAAATGCCTTCAAATTGGCACACATATGTATAGGCATATGTACAAAGCACAACAACTTTTTCAACATTGACCTTCACTGATGACGTCATCAAGGCGCCATTTTGTAAAAATTTCGGAAAAACAACTCTTGATCATATCTTCATAACCAAAAGGTATTTCCCATTCATATTTATCATGATCAAGGTCGATATCCGTCCGGTCAATTTCAGGTCAGAGAACGCGCGCGCCCGCGTGTCAATGCGCGCGCAAAATTTTAAAATGCTATAAGTCGTCTCAAAATCATTTTGCATACGTTTTAGGCCATTCTAAGCATTTTATAAAAAAATCGCGCACACGCCCATGCGCGCGCGTTTTCGCGCGTAAAACTATTACACAACATAGAATCGCCATATTTTTTTCTTTCATAATATTTGGCACATTTTTACAAACAAACTGATACCATGTATGTCTCTTTATGACTATTAATAACGGAATGATCGACCGTTTAACAAGAATTTCCGTGCGTGCGAGCTCTTGTAATACATAGCATATATGGGCAAAAACATGCCTATACAAAATCCATTGTAGCTCTTTAGGATGCAAGATGACCTTAATTTGTTTTCATATCTTGATAAAGTATGAGTCGGAGATATGATTTCATGTCTCATTTGACCCTCAATTAACTCATGACGTCATCATAATGGCCTCCGAACTCAAAATTTCAATTTGCATATTATGACGTCAGCATATTTTTGGAAAAATTGATTGTATCTCTGTAAATATTGATCGATTTTTTTTCCAAATTTTGATATGTTCTAGCTGACACAATTTTCAACAAATGCAATCCCATAATTTTTCATTTTGACAAAGGGGTCATGGCGTATTTTTGCGATTAAAGGAGGCACGTCAATTTTGCACATGTTGCGTGTATTCTCTATGGGACATGATATTTTCTCAAAAAATGGATTCTACATTCCCGTCTTTCGCGAGCAATATCTCCGTCGTTTTAGCTTCGTTTACGCTGAACTTCGAGTATGTTGTAGCTGAGACAATAAGCTATCTCAAATGTACCCTTTATTTTGTCTTAAATTTTAGTTGGATCAGCCCACCTATACTTGTTCCAAACAAGTATTACAAATCTAGTTCATGCTTGTTATCCTTCGTGTGCTTGATTTATAATTTTACAATCGAGTGGAAAATTGCGTCCAAAGTGCGACTTGTTGCACATGTATTATATAGACAATGGCGAGCTGGCGACCTATTTTGCCCAAATTACGGTGGGTAAACTTTCAAAAGTCAATGGGACATGAGGGTTCCAATGAAAGAGCTAGTGATAACGTACGTCGGGTTGGATGTGCTTTTCGATTTTTTTTTTTTTTTTTTTTTTTTTTGGGGGGGGGGGGGTAAAAGTCCATAGGCTAACATGTTTATAGGCTGCTGGACTCTGACGATAGGGGGCGTTGTCAAATGAGACTAAACGGAGCTATATGCCACTTTTGGCGGTCGAAGGCATAAACAAATAAAATAAAACAGATGCGTAATGCTACTTTCTATTCTATTGATTCCCTCCCCATCGAACGTCCCTGTAAGCTACTGAAATGTTGAATAAGTTATGAAAGATAACTTTGCGGGAGCAGCACACTCGATCTTTATCATATACTAGCATTTTGTTTATAATTAGACATAACCGGGACAAATTTAATTAAAACTCAACTTTATCTTTCAGAAACAATGATGCAGGATCACAAACCTTCATGTAATATCCGCCAAAGCCTACGAACTCATGATTGGTCACGTTGTCGATGTCGAATGAAGTATGTTGAGAGGGGATCGTCCTCCATGTCGTATCCTCCTGCCAGAGTCTCTTGATCTGGACGTACATAAGTAACCAGTCTCCTAAACAGTATATGTTACAAAGAACAGGGTTACTAATGTATTCAAACAGGCATAATTTTGTTTTTGCTTGTTGCGTCTCTTTTTGTTTTGTTTCAGGGGGGTGTTGCGTTGCTGTTTTATGGATGAAAAATCATATGCCTTACTCATTTTCTAAGTATGATTAAATTTAAGTTAATGATATATTTTCAACTCGCAACGAGTCTAGAGTATTTTTGATTAAATCATATGACATTTTATATTGAAATTCCCTCAGCTTTCTGTCCTAAGTGGATTTTCGGGGTCTTAAGAAAATTGTTCTCGTGTCATTTTTGACCATATTATATGTACGTTCCAAGTTGCATGTAGCTTAAGATTTTTCCGTTCTCATCTTTAACAATGTACTACAGATATTTTTTGATTTTATGCCTTGCAAAGAGTGGGGTTTTCCGTTAAATATGAATTCTAAACTTAATTCGGTATCCGTACAAGGATGTTCATATTTATTCAAAAGAGTTTTCCATGAGAATGGAATGCCTTCGTCTGTATTATATTTATTTCAATGTTGTTTAAATCCATTTTTGAAATTCTGTGATAGATTTTCATTCACTTTCTTCTCGACAATATGATGTATTTTAAAAATATTTGTCAGGAATAAGTCTTCATGGAAATAAATATGCCCCTATATGCGGATACATCTATTATTGTAAATAATATGATTTCTTTTTGAAATTTCGTCTACGAGATGAGAGAGAGAGGAAAAACAACTCGCTCAGTGATAGTAAACTTGCTTTATTACGTTTGATTTCTTCTCTCAAAAAGCCTAACCATGCATTGACCATTCATGTAGAGATGACGTGGTCGAGTGGTTAAGTCGCCGGACTGTCGATCACAAGGTCCGCGGTTTGAGACCCGCTGCGGCACTAATGTCCTTTGGCAAGACATTGATGTACATTTGCCACACTCAACCCAGGTGATGTAAATGGGTACCTGGCAGGAATCAATTCTTTGAAATGTTAGAGCGCCGTAATGGCAGCACATCTATAAAGCCGGGGTAATAATCTTCAAGTTTGGAAGCACTTAGTGATTGTTGTAATAAGCGCTATATAAAAACTGAGTATTATTATTAGTATACATAACATTGCTTCTGCACAAATAATTCTACTTGTCATGTCACAACAAAGAGTTAAATGATCTATTCCGTACCACGTGTCTTCTATACGATTCATCATTTCTGAACGTTAGACTTGATAGCATCTTATTCAAACTTAATTGGAGTTTGGTGATATTTCACAGAACCCAAAATGGCGGCCAAACTAGTATGCAAATCAAACTCCTAAAACGCGCCAATCTGAACAATGCCTGAATTTCTTTACGTTCATGCTTCTGTGTCCACTTACCGGGTAATAGTTTTAATTTCTCAGTAAATTGCATTCATTTCCCTCCCACTATTGTCATACGTCATACTTTGCCTAGTTTAAGTTTGACCTCCTTATAAAACAAAATCCAAAAGTGCATTGATCATATTCAAAGCTATTTTGCACCCGCTCAGTGTAATAACCTTGGCCAACCAAATTTGACGCCTTTTGTTAAAGAGCCTAAGCATGCATTGACAGACCATTCATAAAATCGTTTCTGCACAGTTAAGTCTACGTGGTACGTCACAATAAAGAGTTAGGTGAGTTATTCCGTGACACATACCTTTCGTACGATTCATCATTTCTGAACGTTCAAGTTTCAAGTTCAAGTTTTATTTATCTTTCTTTCATAACACACTTTACAAATATGACATGAATATAACAAGTTTAACATAATATGGCGTTACAATAGAAAGATGAGGTGACCTTGGTTGAAAGCAAGGCTTGTGGATTTAAGGTCCCTCATGAGTAGCTTATGAGTATGTCCTAAAAGAACAAACTCGTCAGATAAGAATAATGCATACATTTAAATGCTGACAAACTTAACTAACTAAACAACTGAGAAAATATAAACATAAATAAGTATAATGAAATCTACTGAATACTTAATAATGGCTTTAAACAAGAGAAACAGGGAAAAAACTACGAGCAACTGGACTGAAACACAGACAAAACAAAAAAAGACGGACAGATGAATAGATGTGAGAAACGGGAGTAGAATTATGCTGACCTATATAGTTAGACTTTATAGCATCGTATTCAAACTTAATAGGCCGTTTTCGTAACGTAACCAAATTTAATGCATAAGTCTTTGTGAAGTGCCTCAATACAAATTATTTCATTCACCTGATACGAATAATAGTATTTCAATAGACAGCATCCGAACTGCATACATAAGTTGTTGCCAGGTCGGACAAACATAGCTTGACCTACCTAGCAACACTTAATATATGCAGTTGCATTCTGACTAACTATTATTCCTAACAGGTGAACAAAATAATTTGTATTGAGGCACTTCACAAACACTTATGCATTACATTTGGTTACATTACGAAAATGGCCTATTGGGGTGAAGCGACTTTTAACAGTACCCAATAGGCGGCCAAACTAGTATGCAAATTAAACTCCTAAAACGCGCCAATCTGAATAATGCCTGAACGTCTTTATGTTCATTAAAGGGACTTGGTAACATTGTTCAGATGAGAGAAAATAGTGCTAAGGTAGCGACTTCAATGCTAAATGTACAATTAAAGATAATCTGAAAGTTTGAGTAAAAACAGACCATTATTAATGATAACATTTAGGGAAAACTGATCTAATCGATTTCTTAATTCTCCCAATTATATTATTACAATTGAATTACTTTTAAGGTGAATTAAATGTAAATCGTCACGAAGCAATGAATTTGCTTTATATACCATTCCAGAATTTAAGTGTTAATAGATTTTCAAAAGCCTGTCTTATTCCACTGCTCTACCATTAAGCCATCGCCTCTCCTCTCATGAAAATCGTGTAAAAAAATAGAAACGGAAAATTGATATTCGGGCAATATAGGTCAGCAGCTCCCTCCACAACTCCACCCCCCCCCCCCATGCCCCTTCGTGAATGGTTACACCTTAAATGATAAAATTAATACTTAAATATAAAAATTGTACCTCTTAATCCAGTAGCTAGTAGTGCTGTAAGAAGAGTACCCAGTCCTGCAAGTATAGCTCTTCTGATTCTGGTCAGTAGCGAGCCTAATTTGCCGATTCTACCCTGTTTAGCCATCATGCTTCTCTAGTAACCAAAAAACAAGTAAACAATATATATTAATAGACTGGTGATATTCGTGGAGGTAGTAACTTCAACTTCTCATATGAGACAAATCCAAGAAAACGTTTCCCCCATTTGGGTATGACTTATGAGTTATTCATGAATAGAATGCATGCCGTCTAGACATAATAATAATAATAAAGTCTTTTTTTTGTATAGTGCAAAATTAAATTCAAGCGTCCATTTCAATCAAACAAAACAAAACTACATTAACATCATACTTTGTGTTGAAAGATAATAACAGAGACGTAACCAGCTTTAAATGCTGGCAGACCCACTACCCACCCAATGCTCCGTTTATAGACCACCTAAATTAAAAAGCTAGACAAAACTATAACACACTCACCCCTTCGAAAATCAAGTGGTAGGGTGCGTCTCAACAGAAATAGTCCAGAATCTGACCTATTTAATTATGATCTCCACCTCACCAACGCAATATATGCACTGACCTCTACCTACTTACTTGCTGCCAGCCGAAGATGGCGTGATCATTAAATTGGGACCAGAGCCATCTATACACAGAGTTTGGCCAACTTGGTTCCAATGGGTCACAACATGGCGTATATTCTTTTGTTTTGTGCTTGCCCAACAAAGCAGTAGTCGCCATATTGTGTCCAACTCGAACCCGGTTGGCCAAGCTCTGTGTATAGATCGCTCTGATCAGGCGCGTACGCAGGGGGGGGGGGGGGGGTGTTTGGGGGGTTAAACCCCCCCCCCCTTTGGTATTTTTATGTGTGTAAACCCCCCTAAAAAATCCCTAAAACCCCCCCCCCCCCCTTTGGATTTTTTTTTTTTTATTATTATTATTTTTTTTTTAAAATTTAAAAAAAAAAAAAATTCTCCATGGCTGACCTAAGAAAGGTGACCTTACCCCCCCCCCCCCCCCCCCCCCCAACGGGGCAAAATGTCAAATTTTCAAATTTCGAGACCAAAAAAAAAAAAAAAGTGTTCGCTTACCCCCGGAACCCCCGGAAAATTACCCCCTAGGACAATTACCCCCCCCCCCCTAAAAATTACCCGATTTTTTGTTTAATCAAACCAACTTAATATCAGGGTGGACTTCCCCTTTAATGACCGGGGGGCGGGGTTAATTGTATCAGGGTAATTTTCCAGGGAGGGGGGGGATCATTTTCCGGGGTTATTGTGCAGGTGATAACTGTCCTGATACTCGTGAAAGGCATTGAAAAGAGAGAGAGAGAGAGGGGGGAGAGAGAGAGAGGAGTCAGAGGAGAATGAGGGAAGGCAAGAGAGAGAGAGGAATAAGCCTAAGGGGATGGGAAGAGATCGGGAGGATAAGAAGGAATGGAGAAGAGAGGATAGTCAGGTCCGTCAACAAAATGTTGGGGACAGAATATACATCTATTGGCAAAGTTTGGTGCTTTTGTGCAAAATTATGTAATAATGAATGTACATGTACTGTACAGTAGCAGGCGCGTACGCAGGGGGGGGGTTTGGGGGGTTAAACCCCCCCCTTTGGAAATTTTTTGTGTGTAAACCCCCCTAAAAAAAACCTAAAACCCCCCCCCCCCCCCTTTTGGATTTTTTTTTTTTTTTTTTTTTTTTTTTTTTTTTTAATTATTAAAAAAAAAAAAAAAAAAAGGTGACCTTACCCCCCCCCAACGGAGCAAAATGTCAAATTTCCAAATTTCGAGACCAAAAAAAAAAAAAAAGTGTCCTCTTACCCCCCCCCCCCCCCCCCCCCCCCCCCGCTTATTCAGCGGCTGGCTGAGTCGTTGCGAAATTTTCGGACCGATTTATAAATGTTAAAACCCCCCCCTTGAAAAAATCCTGCGTACGCGCCTGTACAGTAGTGTATCTGATAGCCGCTCCATAGTAAAGACCACAAGGTATAGATATCTTGATCTAAGATTCAAGTTTATTGTCTCTGCTTTCAAGACTGAAAACGACTTTGACTGCCATCATATAAACAGGACAAACACGTTATACAATATCTTATAAAATAAAAATCACGTTACATGACCGTTTCATAACAATATAACATATCTAGTCTTCGATTTCGAATTTGCAAAAAATATATAAAGTATAATGAACATACTTTTAAGGTAAATATTAGGTCACCAGAAACGAAAAAAACATTTATGCTCTTTACATTCAAAAACATAATTCTAAAAGTTTCTAAAGCTGACTTTGCTTTTTGGAGACACATTCATCGAAAAAAGCAGGATGCAGTGATATAAGTTATTACACAAAAGGATCCAACATGCTCGGAATATATTGCTTTACACAATATTTATATCAAATGGACAAATAAATGACACTTTTAGATATCATTTACTATTAGTGTACATGCGCAAATATATAATATTGTTGTTGTTTTTACAACTGAGGTCTATATAGGCTAATCGCCTCAGCAATGATTACGCAGTTTTACACTCGGCACAAACTGATATTCATAATTATCTAAGTTTGTGCGTCATTTAGTTTAAAACTGCCTACCTTCATAGCTGCTCACAGGAATATCCACTAGACCACGACGCCTCCCCATTCATTTATTGCTGAAACAAATTCTTTGTAGTTGCATCATAATTTATTTTCTTTTCTTTTTTAATAGTCTCTCATTTGCCACGATTGGTGAATTCTTAAAGATATTGTTCACATTGTCTTGGCATTATCTAAATCGCTGAATGGTTTGTCTTACAATGTAAGAGCGAAGATGATTGATAATGATAAACATTAAATTCAGTTGGTACGGAAGTGCTTTAAAGTCACAGATATCTTTTTATATTTTGAGTGTTTTCAAAGAAAAAAATCTACTGTTATCATTACCCATATTATAATCTTACTGCTTTTTAAAAACATGTAGGCCTACTTTTAACAGTTTAAAACACACGCTGAGCAATTGTTTGGACACAATGGCCCAAATTCACAAAGGAGGTTTGTCGACTTATGTGCGTCATGACCGTTTCGACGCGTTCAAAATAATGGATGTAGACTCACATGCATTGATTCCGCCATATAACTTGGTACACGAGGATTTCTACAATTATACTTTTTGAAAGTACTGCTGCTCAGTCATCTTTGGCAGGGTATTTGTTCTTCTTTATAGTAACATATGATTGCAGGTCACACTAGTGACTAGTCCATAATCTGGCCTATTTAATTTTGATCTCCACCAATCCAACGCTACCTCCCCGTACGTTAATACTTGCTACATGCCGAAGATGGCGTGATCATTAAATTACGACGCAGCCTTGGGCTGGCGAGAATAGTTATGAGTTGGTTGATAACGCCATCTTCGGCGGCTTAAATCAAGTATGTAGGGATATAAAGAACCGGCCATATTCTGAACTAAGGTAACACAGGTTATAATTTTTTTAATATATGCTACCAAAGGTAGGTAAACTTTTGTTTTAATACGCACTGTATGTAGCTTTGAATGTTAATAATAATGGAATTACAAAATCTGTAATCACTTACACTTTTAAGAACATGTTATGTTCTCTTTTTAGCGTTTTACTAGGGAAAATTAAGTAATTTAATAATTTACTTATCGTGTAGCTTTCTTATTCATAATAATAACTTTCACTCTGAAAATTCAAAGTTATCATAAACATGAGGAAAGCTCTTGTAAATTGAGTACGATCAAGAGCTTGCCACCTCGCTCAATTTTAATCGTATTGTTCTATTCACAAATAAAAACACTTACTAAAAGTGATATTGTCTCATTTATCTTTATTCTTTTATTTTTACTCAGTTCCCCTTTTTATTTTGCGGCTTTGAACTTTTTGGAGCACCCTGTCCTCCGAAGGTGGTTTCCGTGTACCGTCGATCTTTTCTCATCAGAGTTCCGTGAAGTTTGTCGAACATCTCGGTGTTGAATCCGAAGTTACAGTGAAAAAACCTGGAGAGGGTTGAACAAGAAAATTACAGGCTTATTCATTTCGGGAATTTTAAAATGATGCCCCAAATTAATGATAATGATAATAATGATGACGATGATAAAAATGAAAATAATAATAAACAGAATAATAATAATGACAATAATAATAATAATAACAATAATTTTGTTAACCAAGGGAAGCCTCATCAGCATCAATGCTTTTGTTCCCGAGGACCCAGATTATTATTACTCCGACAATATTGCCAGGTACCCATTTACACCTGGGTGGAGAGTGGCAGATGTGGATTAATGCCTCGCCAAAATATGTCAGAGTCGAGCTGGGAAATGAACCCTCCACCCTTGAATTGAGAGTCAAGTAAATGAACCACTATATACCTCAATTCATCTTCAATATTATTGAGGAATTAACAACAAAACTCCATTGAACATCTTTCTTGGTCATCATCATTACAATAATAATTACAATCATCATTTCCTTCCCTGATGTCTATAAATGCTTCTTTGATTATGTAAAGGAGATAGTATAATGATAATAATAATAACCTTTTAAATTGTATTAAGTTAAACCGAAAATGGAAATTCTTTTTGCACAATTGATCGTGAGCTCGGCAGCCACTGAGCAGCGCCAGATCGACGTTGCTCCATCCCTTATTGTTGAACGCCAAAACAAGGTAGCAGCAACACCCGTCTTTTAACGTCTTTTGGTATGACGCGGCCGGGGTTCGAACCCACGACCTCCAGGTTGTGAGGCGGACACTCTAATGAGCCAACACACCGGTATGAAGAGAGAGTACTTACTTGTGATGATTATCATGAAAGATAACCTGTGGTTGCCATGGCCAAAAGGGATCTAAATGTATTCCTGAGTGGTCTAAGATGCTGTAGTAGTAACCGTAGATCAACCAAAATACGAACACACCTAGAAACGGAGAAAGAAGAGGTATTGTCGTTATCAAGTGACACTTTTTTTTTTTTACTGGAAAATGCTTTTCGAGACCACTCCGCCATGCGAGAATTGGATAATACAAAGTTGACTAAAGACATTGAAAGTAAGAGTAGAGGATACGTAATAATCAATAATCTCTGTTATTTTGTCCGGTCGAAGAAATATTTACAGTAAGTTGTCTCGTACCCGTTCGAAATTATTAATGCTCATTAACAAATCCATGTGAGAAGACTTTATACAGCCGTCGGTCACCTGTTGCTTACATCTCAAGCAGGTGAAACAAACAAGCGAATATGTGTCAATGGTTGGTATCCAATGTTTCATATTCAAGTTAGCTGGGTAAATTAAATACACCCCCCCCCCCCAACCGCCCTCAATATTACATTATAGGATACTGAAATCTGAAACCATACTGTTTGGAGCCAGAAGGGCGTTAACCCTTTTCATTTCATACAGAGTTAACGCCCTTCTGGCTTCAAACAATTCTGATACAGGTAATATATCAGACCAGGATGAAGAAGATCCCCATAGAGAGAGAGAGACACAGAGAGAGAGACAGAGAGAGACAGAGAGACAGAGACTGAGAGAGACAGAGACTGAGAGAGAGAGAGAGAGAGAGAGAGAGAGAGAGAGAGAGAGAGAGAGAGAGGAAGAGAGGGAGAGAGAGAGATGGGACAAACATTGAGATAGAGGGAGACAGAGAGAGAGGATGTGGGGAACAACAAATTGAGATAGAGGGAGACAGAGAGAGAAAGAGACAGATTGGGGGAGACAACAAAGACAAGGGAAGAGGGAGAGAGAGAGGGGAGAGATAGAGAGGGGAGAGAGAGAGAGAGGGGGGGACAGAGAAAGAGTGAGAGGTGAGACAAAAATTGAGATAGAGGGAGATACATAGGAAGGGTATAACTTCATTATTAAAATAGGTACAGTGCCAAGCTCCTTACCTGCATGCATTGGTATAAAGAAGATGGGTATCTCAATCAGGAATTGGAGCGCGAGGAAGTCGTAGGGGTGCATGGCTACGGCTCCGAAAGGGGTGGGGCACTTGAAACGGTGGTGGAGTTTATGGTAGCGCTTGTACCAAGGAGCAATATGCATAGCCTTGTGAGAGTAATAGGCCGCAGCTTCGTTGTATACGTAATTGACGGGAATGGAGAGTAGAAAGTAGACCCAACCATAGTCCGATATGTTGTAATAAAGTTTGGTCTCCCCTCCGTTCATGATGTAGGTTACGAGGATGCCTGGTAAAAGAAAAAAAAAGAATTGTTAGAAAGGTAGGGGGCATATTAGTGTTAACCATTAGACATGTTACGTATTTCCTGATATTAAAGAAACCTTTCTATATGGCACTATTCAAAATTTTAAAAATGCACATTCTCGGATATGCTCTTTAATAATCTTGTTGTCTGCTATTATAAAAGTATACAACCTTCGCTGTTTTCTGACTACTATGCATGTTGTTTCGGTGGCAAAGAGATGTTTTGGCATTGTCATTGCCATACCTGTATGGCGGCAGCGAACAAACTTTGATTTGCCTAATATAATTTAGGACTCTTACAGGGAATGTTGGCTTGATATCACCAAATATCTGGTGCTACCTGGGACCCGTTTCACAAAGCCTTTTTTCAATGACAAAAATCAGTGACAAATCTGTTGACAACCAATCAGAAGCAAGGATTTCAGTAGCTTATAACAAAATCTGTCATTTGTCACTGAAAAAAAGTTTTGTGAAACGCCCCCCCCCCCCCTGAAGTAGTCATTGTTCGTAATTACAAAACCTACACACAAATCATACGCAATATCACTATCATGTACGACAGTATTATAATATTCGGTTTATATGAATAATTAGATAAGTTCCCCAAAAGAATGACCTAAGACGTAATTCAAGAAATGGTTGTAATTATGATCTGTGTAGGCCTTTGTTAGAATAATTTCAAATCAAAGTGAATGAATTACCTGAAAGCACCGATCCAAGAGCCATGTTCATCGACCCCAGTCTAAACTCAAGCCGATCATCTTCAGGAGTTAGAAAGCGATCAGGTTGGCACTTCCATTCCGCCGCTTTGTTACGTCTCTGGATGTAGAAATGCCACTTCAACCAGCCTCCCACACCATACAGAATAACAAAACCACCAAGCAGAGAATAGAGGACGTAGAACCAAACACCCTGCAAAGAAAGAGCGTTGTAGAAAAGAAATTAATAACGACGAAATATAGATTTATAGAGAGCTTATAAATACGAAATACCGCCAAAACAACCAAGCAGAGATTAGAGGGCGCAGAACCAGACACCCTGCAAAGAAAGAGTGTTGTAGAAATTAATAATATAGATTTATAAAGAGCTTAATACGATACCGCGTCTCGATCTAAGCGCTTTACAAATAGTATCATTACCCAAGTTGTATGATTCATTAGGGACTTTTAGATTCGCATGTCAACAGCTTTGACTGCAACGTGTGACGTCATTTTAAGGCAATGCGCATGCGTTACGTCGTCTCAGTCGGCGATCGAGAATGCGTCAACCTTGATTTTCCTAAATCTAGTACATACATACATACATATTGATATTTATATAGCGCCTTTACATGCTCAAGTTCCTCAGGTAGACAAAGAAACATCCCTTCCCTGCTATTATGTAAAAATGTGTAGAACAGGTGTTACATGCATATTCACCTGTTCTACATATTTTGACATAATAGCAGTCAAGGGATGTTCTTTTGTTGAGGGTAGAATGAGAAACTGTATATTTTGTCCTCTTTCTTTGTCCGTGATGTTCATAGTGTTACTTCCTGCATGCATGTATATCGTCGAGTGCAATCTAAAGGATTTCTAATTGTAGTCAACATGGGCAGTTAAGGACGTTGACACGCATGATCAGTCGGCGTTCGTCGTGTTCTCGTCCACTCAATCTAAAAGTCCCTATTCACTCACAGTGTACATCATCTCCACTCCCTGGGGAGTATTCCTACCGTATGGTCACCGTGAGGGCATATGGCAATGACTATCACAAAGGCTTTCGTCATCCTACCAGGGCCCCGTCTTACAAAGAGTTACGATCGATCCAAATCAATCGTAAGTCCTCCAATCAATCGCAAGTTTGCAGTCTCCTATCTCTTATGTACATAGTTACGATTGATATCAATCGCAAATAACTTACGATTGATATCAACTCTTTGTAAGACGGGGCCCTGGTCTCCACTTCTCTCCTGGGTATGGAGTGACAATTGTCAATTAATGCCACGCCAAATGATATCAGTGCCGTGTCGGAGATCGAATCCACGGCCTTTGCATTTCTAATCAGGTGCTCGAACCACTCGACTATGACACCTCTACTATAATTAGAATAGGGACTTTTAGATTCTGCACGACGAGAACGTGGACTGCCCTTTTAAGGCAATGTGACGTCACTGTCAGTGCCTTAAAAGGACGTCACATTGCCTTAAAAGGGCAGTCCACGTTCTCGTCGTGCAGAATCTAAAAGTCCCTGGAGTGTTTAGGACATCAGGATGTATATATGTTTGTACATGAATATACTATAGATCGTGATTTTATGGTGGAAGATGCTCAGCGATGCTATTGACGATGACGATGATGATGACGATGATAATGACGACGAGGACGAGGATGACCACGATGACGACGATGATGAAAACGACAGTAATGACAATGATGAAGACGAAGAAGATGATGATGAGGATGATGATGGCCATGGCGATGACGACGATTACGACGATGATGATGATGATGAAGACAACGACGACGATGACGAAGATGGACCCAATTATTATTATTATTATTACATTATCTTTGACGAACCTGCATATGGTATCGTTCCAGGGGGTTTTCGTATTGTACGGTACTTCCATTCTCAGCAGCTCCCCGGTCAAGACCCGGTAAGGACGCCTCTGTGATGAGTGATTCCCCATACCACAGCTTCTGAATCTGAACGTAGAATAACAACCAATCACCTGCATGGAAGAAATTAAGTAAGAAAAGTATTTAGTATCAATATCATAATTAATTCTTAGGCTACACCTCTTCTCAAAATCCTTTAACTATATTTGTAATTTCGTTAAGATTACTTTATGATAACACGATCTTACAGACTTTCAACCTAAAGCTCCCCATCACACCAGATTATAGTTCTCGCTATGCTTTGGAATCGTCTTAGAAAATCGTAAAATGGGTTGTGGACGGTGTAGAACGTGTAAATAATGTTCTATAATACGATCGAAGTTCGTTCATAAACAGTCCTCAATACGTCCATCTCGTCTGTACCCCGTCCACAGTCAGTTCATATCAAGTTCAGATCGGGTAAATTTGCCCATTTCCAGGCAGTCCAAGCCAGTCTGTAGTCAGTTTAAACCCGTTATTAACCAGTTCTACCTCGTTCCCAATACGTCCAAACCCATTCTTACTTGTTCGCAACTTGTTCTAACTAGTTTGTAACCCAACCACCCCGTTCAGTGACAGTTCAACTCGTCCTCAGCTCGTTCTTAGTGCGTTTGAACGCGCTCCTAAAGCGTGTGCAATCACGTCCTGGCTGAAGGGCTATAAAACGCCAGTCCGAGCCCGTCCATGAACTAGGCGTTGTGGCGTGCGCCTGTAATCCAGCTAATAGTGGAAGTTACAAACTGATACAACCGAGGACGCAAGTTCAAAACTGAGTCACGTCTTTCGGGTGGTGACATAAGGGACTTTTAGATTTGCACAACGACAACGAGGATTGCTACGATCGACGTCCTTTTAACGCACTGCCTTGAATGGACGTCACACGTATCAGTCCACGCAAATCTAAAAGTCCCTATTAAAAGTCGGTCCCCAGACGTAAATAATCATATCTGATTGACACACGTCTGTAAAAACACAATACACACGTCCATGAAGTTCTTAAACAGATCGTAAACAGCCATCGTAAATCGTATTACGTTCAACTCCGTTTGCACACAGGTGAAATGTTGCAGAATGCAATGTTTTTCCTTCAAAACACAATTCATCCTCTAAACACATTACGAAATCAATTATCGATAAAGACAATATATTTTGCAATAATTAACTTGTTTTTATGGGTTTAAATTAGTCATAACAGTCATGATAGTAAAATGATATTGTCATATGAAAATATTACAGGGTTGTTCACAATAATGACATTGTTATAGTAGTTTTAGTATACAAAATATAAGCCTGAAGTCTGAAGTTAAAAGGAAAGAAGAAAAAAAGCTAGATAGTGTAAAGCGTCCGAAATACGCAATGATGGGAATAGGCCGATATTTGCTTTTCAAGAATATATTGAAGAAAAAATGCATACAGAAAATGCTTTAAGGTGTATTTCAACATTCATTTTTTATTGAATTTTTAATTAATTACAGGCATGTCAATTTAGTTGCAAGATTAGCAGTTCAATCAGGTTCGAAAATAAAGATAATGCACGTTTGTCTTCCGTATCACGTATCCTAAACGCCACGGAGAACTGGGACGCATGCTGGCAGCCTGATTCTGACAGTTCGTTTGAGCTTTAGAAGGTCGTCATTGTTTGCTCTGTAAAAAGTTCGTATACGTCTTACAATTAGACGAATATTTGCGTCTGTTTGGGTCTGTTTACATTGCAGTAAGCAAGGCGATTTCTTGCATGAAGGTTCATCGAACTTTAAAAGGATCACTGAACCCGATAAATGTTTCCAGCCAGATGTCTGAGAAAGGTCGCATGAAATCATTTTGATCTCAGAAAAACGTTTTTGAGACGCCATCATGGGATGTGGTGTAACCGTTACGGGATTTTCCAGAATTCGAGTTCAATGTTTCATTTTATAATTAGAATGCTTCAGGGGAATACACTTTGTATACTGTATTTTCTTGAAAGTCAGATATTGTTTGGCCTAGATCTCCTAGATATCAGGGGAAAATGATGAGGATTTGATCAAATCGTTCTTAAAATGATTTTATTGTTCCTTTCATTTCGATTGTCGAAACGTTGATAATTTATCTAATGAAATTGTAATCGTTTCCTTTAACTCTTTTTATATATAATTATTCGATATTTTTGTTATAAGAATGAATTACACCGTTGCCAATGAAGTCGGAATAATTTGTTCCCCTCTTTTCATGAAATTTTTGCGACGTTACATTATTTATTCTCGATACATTAAGCTTATACCTTCTCAGAACTTTATTGATCAATCTACAAATTCATAGAGATCGACCAATAAAGCTCTGATAAGATTTAAACTTTGTCCATCAACAATAACTCATATTTTTATAATCATTCATGTAACAGCAAACAAATTAAAATTCCCATATATGAATAACTTATATAAGTCAGGATAGCATTTGGACGTGTATTACAATTAAACTGAAGGTAAAGTGAGAGATAAAATGTAAATACACAGTTATTTCGCAGTTGTGGATTCGGCATAAAATATGTTTTTCTTGGTCCATCTAGTTTGTGTTTATTCAATCAACTGTTCTTCAATTCAATTATTTGTTCGGGCGGAGAAAAAAAACACACATATTCTTTCATTTATCTACAATATCTTCAAATGAAGATTCCCAATTCTCTCTTTCTACAAAGAAAAAAACTCGACATGAATATCATCTTATTTGTGAATTTCATGTTTTGAAACAATATAATACATGGGTTGTTCACAATTGTGCGAATCGGTCGCAACAGGATATCTCACTATTTTGGTGACGAAAAAGAGGGTAATAACAACATTAATAACATAATAATTTTCTAAATAAATGAAAATTTAGACAGCGATTCTGACACTTTGTGTAAAATCTTGATGTACACTAATGTAAGATCAATTGTTTTAGCCCCACCCACTTCAATAATTTGACACTGTGAATTTACATGGCCATATATAAGGAAATCATGTTATCATTTTAACTTTAATAAGTTGACAATGAAACAATTTCGCCCTCCCCCCCCCCCCCCCCAGCTTATAACTTTTCTTTCCAATATTGAAGAAGAAGGAAAAAACTACTATTATTGCAATAACTCGTCCTCTTTATCTCAAATGGTCAAATAAAGATTTTTTTTATTTTTTTTTTTACTAACCTCGAATACCCGTGGCCAGAATAGCAGTCATGAAACTCCCAACAGCTACAGCAAGTCGATTTTTCACTCCTTGAGCAAAGCCAGATTGTTTCTTTAAATCTTGCCCTTCCATCGTGTTTCGATACAGTTTCAAATAAAGATGAAGATTAAAACAAAGAACTCCTTTATTGACTATGATTTTTGACGACTGTTCCCGATGATGCTAGCGATGGAGTTCAGGTAGTGAACGTATTACCCCTCGTCAGCAGATGTCTGGTCCTTGTATACTAGAAAACATCCGAAAAGTCACTTACTGATGATGAAGAGCTCATGTGAAGAAGAAAAACGGTTAACACCTACGTGAACAATCAATATTTCTAGTTTCGACTTTCTTCTAGTCTAATAAACATATTATTTATAATTTTTACGGAATTCATCGAATTAAATCCATCCTCGTGACTTCGCTTCTAAGATGAATTGAAAGCTAGATGGAGAAGGGAAAAACACCGTAGAGTCATTGACGCACTCTGGGCATGTGAATAAAATAATTAGGCAACAGCGAACTTCTTTTATGAAACCTTATCGATTAAAGTTTGGGTATACAGAAGGTGAACGAACTTTTGCGCTGAACAGAAAAGGTCGCGTTGGGTAAAAGATGTCAAAGTGTTTGTAGGCCTATTTAAGGGCTTTGCTGATAACAAAATGGCGTGATGACAGAAAGGTGACAGACACGATGGTGCACGACTTAGAAAATTAAATTTAAAAAATCGTGAATACTTTTTTTTTAGTTTTAATGTCGAGCCGTAATGAATCTGTAATGTAAGGCCTATCTGTTGGTGTGTTATAAATGTATCAAATGGTTACCATCGGCGTTTTTCGTCGTACACGATATCGATTTTATTTCAAAAACACATTATTTTTATTGGAATCTTCACGCAACTTAATGGAAGTCATAAAAAGCGATGTTTTTATGACAATCTTACAAGACCATTATGAAATTGACGTACTCCGGATAAATTTTGCTCAGGGTGTTTATTGAAAACACAACCTTCTTAGGGTCTGAGCTAAAGTTTCGTGTTAGATTTATTTTAGGGCTATTAATAATAATAATGATAATGATAATGATAATAATAATGATAATAACAAGGCTTGGAACTAATTTTTCTAAGCGCTGTATTATTATTATTATCCCGGAATCAGCCGAGCTTCCCTAATTAGGTGCTCTGACATTTGTGGAATTTCTTCCTACCGGGTTCCCATTTACATCACCTGGATGGAGAGTGGCCAATGTGAGGTTTATATATTGGACATCAATGATGACTTGATTCACAGAATTTTCTTCAAGTTATCCAAATCTAAATATCCTTTCTTATACTTCCACTTAATTGGTTACCCGAAAAAGAAAAAAAATACAATCTCATTAACTAGTAAGCCATATTATTAGTGCGGTACGGTATGTAATCCCGTATGATTTTTTTTCCAAAGTTGATTTTTTTTTTTTTTTTTTTGCTGTTTTGGCTTTAAAAAGGGTCCCAATTGGCCAAAAATGATGGGGTTCAAATTTCCAGACCCCTTCTTCATTTCCTGGGGGGGGGGGTCATATTGGGCGCCAAAATGGCATATAAATTATAACGCGCAATAGGGAAATTTGGTGTCTTCGGGAAAATTTGAACCCCATCAATTTCTGATAGCTTGGACCCCAATGAATCCAAAAATGCAAAAACAAAATCAACTTTGGTACAAAAATCCTACGGGAGCTGTTTCAGTGACATACCGTACCACACTATATAGGGGGAAAGGTCTTTTAAAGTTCATGATTTTTCGCCTTATCGCTTGCAGTTGTTACTGATTAACTAAATGGTTCATGACTATAACGGTTCTCCGTTATGTTTGCTCGCACTATTAGAAGTGTCAAAACAAGTTCGTGGGGTGCGTTTACATTATCCACGAATAATCCTCTAACTCACCACGGTGTTTTTGTTGTTGTTGCTATTTTGGTTATTGCACGAGGCTAACAAAGTTTACTTCAGTTTAAAATGTCTGTAGTTTGAATGTGCGATGTGGTTAGTACTTAGTAACTCCCTTAGTACCCCTAGTGTTGTCTTGACTTGAATTGAATGGGTTTGAATTTATTTAATCACGGTAAAGCTCACATCAGCCTAAAAAGACCGTGTTACAAACATAAAAGAGAACATAAAGACATCAATTGAATATAAATACATAGGGAAAAGAACTGTAAAGATGACATAAATAAATAAAACAAAGCGGAGAAAGAAACTAATACACAAAAAGGAAATAAAAACATAAACATATATGATATACAAAATGTCAATTTCCTTAGCAGGCCACAGCCCAGATAGATCATTCCATCGTTCCTTATTCCTTATTCCATTCTTTTTTTAATTTTAATATTAAAGACTGGGAGTTACCGAAAGGAGACCACTTAACTTAAAGATGAACAGATTTGTCCGACTGGACAGAAATCCTCGTCTTATTTTGTCCTCTATTGTGACAGCTTTAAAAAGTAATTGAAGTATAAATTGATTATCGATTTGGTCAGAGAGAAACTGAAAGCACTATGAATCATTATGTTTCCACCAAATCTATGCCTTTGCCCATCATTTTGTATTTATCAATAATCAAAGTCTGGAAAAAGTATTTTACAGAGTTTCCATCAATCATGGGGGCTCGTATTTCTTCAGGAGATGACATTTCCCGGTCTTGATCACTATGTGATGTTATATTTTGAATTATTCTGGTGTTCATTTATATCTGTAAAAAGTCTTGCCTTGATCATGCCCCCCCCCCTTTTTTTCCTTCTGTCTGTCGGTCTGTCTCTTTCTCTCGTATATACATCTCTCTCTCTCTACCTCTTTCTCCTTTCCCTTTCTTTCTCTGTCTCATATATATATATATATATATATATATGCATTTCTATACGTATACACTTCTAATTTCACTTGAATGTTATAGTCTTTTTAATATTGTGATATATTTAATTTTATTTATGTGAAGGAAATAAATGTTTAAACTTGAATTTGAGGCAATACGCTGTAATGCAACTTTCACTCCGAAATAATGTTTGTCATTCACAGTATTGCAACATGATTTAAAATTGTGCTTGATGTAAAATTCTAAATATAAATAGATAGAGAGCGCGACTCAACACACACACACACACACGCACACACACACACACGCACACGCACACAGTGCTATGGGTGGCATGTCTATGTGTTTCATGAAAGGTAGAATGAATAAAGTAATTGATAATTACGCTCTTTTTGTTGGCAATTTTTGGTTAAACAATTGCAATAATTGTTTTGTGAATAGCCTTTGTTCTGTTGAGAGTTGCTATACAGTGGCCGTTTTTTAGTTTGCTTAGAAGTATTTCTACTCATGTATGACAAAATGTGCCGCTCTTCCCGCTTCATTTTCCCCATCCCATTCCCCATTGTTTTCTCTTGTTTGTTTGTTGTTATTGTTTGTTGTTGTTGTTTTTTACTGTTTGCTTCAATATGGCATTTACATATTTGATCGTATACATATCACTCATTTTGTTATTCTCTATGTTCAAATCCGTTTATTTATCACCTGGTTTGCAAGTTTTTTTTGTTTTTTTTTGTGGTGGTTAAAGTCGTATTTTGTAATTCTCTAAATCTATTTATATTTTGATTTGTTGAAATGTATATAGTTGTTTGTGTTATGAAGGGCCCCAACGAAAACCAGTATTCATTTGCTGATTGGGCTACCCTTCTTTTTAAAGATGTGTAATAAATAAATAAAATCAAAAAACCCTCCTCGAATAAGCCCTCCCTTACCCCTCCCGTGAACTGTTCTTTGGCGATGGTCCCCAATGAACGAGCCGGTGAAATTACCAGCGCCACAGTTGCGGGTGATCTTCGTACGTCAAATTCGTTGAGATGACTCACCCTCGCGCGGCAAGTTTAGCCGACTCAAATTGGTTTTCACTTTTTAAGTATTGACAAAGTATGAAACTTGTGTTCTTTTCTCATTTAAAATGCCGAAAAGAATCAAGATTTTAAGGGGGTACATAAGACAACATTTACCTGCTGCTCAGAGTGCTCATCATGATAGGTAACTGGTAGTGTATATTGTGGGGTTTTTCTTCTTCAAAAAGTTAGTGTGGGGTTTGGGAAGGAGAATAATCCGTTCCATATACAGTGCGACCCAGAAAAAACGAAACCGAGAGTTATCGATGTTTTATAAACTTAGTCACATTTATAATGTCTTGAATAAATGACACATATTTTGAAAGCTGAAGTCCACCACTTTCATTTCATGTATAAAGTCTTTCGTCTACGGCGAATTGTCAACGAAACGGAGTTAAGTCTTTTGTTAATTCCATTTGTTGCTACGGAAGGCAGCCAGTGAAAACGAATTTGTTTAATAAAATTATGGAAATGCAAGCACCACTTTAAACAAACATAACTTTGTTATTTCTAGCTCATTTTTCCTGATTGAGGTGTTATGAAAGGGCAGAAACTCAACTTTCTGGAAATGTGATTTTCTCTTTGAAATTCAGATACCGTCCGCCAAATGACTTTTTGGTTTCCTCTCTTCAAATTCATTTTAATTACTCATGCGTGAAAAATGCATCATAATGAGTTTCATCAAATGAAAGAGGAGGATCTCAGCTTTCAAAATATGTGTCATTTATTAATTATAATTATGATTAAGTTATGATAAAACATCGATAATTCTTGGTTTCGTTTTTTGTGGGTCGCACTGTAAAGGGAACAAATCATTCGGTATGAAAGGTCGATAAATAATATCACCGCAATTCTTATATACATATTTGATATTTTCCTACAAAGTTTCAAGGCTTCGCAAATTTACAAAATCTATGCTCTGGAACTGAAACAAGGTCCGGTGTGTAGCCCGTGACCTACCTCCGGCTACAAACCACACATGTTATTATATCATTTTTCTCTTCATATCCCTGCGGTGATATGTTGGAAACAAGCCACAAAAAGTACAGTTTGAAAAGACTTTGTTTGACATAAACATTTGCTAATTATTGGGACGATTTGATGACGCTCTCACCTTGCTTCCCATTTCAATAAAAGACTTTTTTTGACGTAAACATTTTCTAATTGCTGGGACGATTTGATGACGCTCTCACCTTGCTTCCATTTTCAACTATATTTCACGAATGCGGTTTTTGTATTATTTTCAATAAAGCTAACCATGTCAACAAAGAAAGAGGAACTATCTCACATATCTTAATAATTATATTTTATACCAAGTTGCAAGGCTATAAAAGGGGATCTCATTACACAGGGTTCATCACAGTTTCCAGAGACAATATCGGAGGGGAAGTATATTCAGGACGTTCTTCAAGTTAGATTTTTGTTTCGACAAGCAGAGATCTCTAGAGGTCAAAATGAAAGAGAGTCTTGTGGCCCTCATGTTGGCTTGTATTGTGGGTTCTGGCCTGGCAGAGCTTACCGACAAACGCGCAATGGTATGTACAAGCTTTATAATATCGTTCGGGTATCAGTTAATAATGATGTTATATATTTGTTATAATGATATAATGGCCATTACAAAACTTAAAATCGAAAAATAGGCTGTCTCTGACAAAGGAAATTTATGATCATGTACCATAATAATATACACATATTCGTATAGTCTGTAGTCCATATAGGGGGCATGCGGCATCCCAAAAAATGTTGGAATCGCCAATATTTGGGCAATCTCATTTCTTGGTATATAGGGAGATGGTCTATTTACTGGCGTACTGGTGGGGGTCGGTGGAGGGGGGGTGGGCTTGAAGGCTGCTATACCCTTACAGTTCCACCTCAAAACTGGAGGGAAGGAAAGAGGGAAGAAGAAAAAAGGAATAATTAAAGGGAAATAGAAAACAAAAGAATAAAGGAGGAAAGAAGAAACAAAAGGAAGAAGAAAGGGAGGTGGGGAGAGAGAAAGTGAAAGAGGGGGGGGGAAGAAAATTTAGATTCCTTTCCACGCCATTTCTATTTCCTGCTACCTTTATGTAATTATTGCATTGGCTCCTTTAAGACTGTGTATCGTTAATTTGTTCAGGTAACTTTTGTGGCATCATAGATAATAGCGGTCGAATACGGAGCGCAAGTTATGTTTCTTTCAATATCTTTTTTTCTTCTTTTTTTTTCTTTATTTGTTTTAATGAACAATCGAAAAACAATCACAATATTTACAAGTTATTATAAAAAGATTACAAAAAAGCAGTAAAACGCAGATCAAAACCTCACGAAAAGTAAATTTACACTAAGATGCAGACAATTACATGCACATGTACCGATACGACATTATAAAACAGCATTATAAAACAAACTTCCATTTTGTAAAGTGCAAGGGCAGTTTGTTTTTCTTTTTTGCAATACGATATTCAAGATCTTTATTATAGTCAATGTAAGTTCTGAAACCCTGAAAATTGGGTATTTTACTTTGAAATTTGCATAAACAAATGTAGTATTTAAGCATAAGAAATAAATACGTCAAAAACATATTCTTTTTATAGCCAAACATTCTTTCAAATATTGAAAAATTCACTACTTTATTAATCTTCTGATTAATAGTTTTAATGGTATCATCCCAAATAGGTTTTACAGTCTGACATTCGATGAAAAGATGTAGGTAAGTCTCGGGTTCATTATCGCAAAATGAACTATTAGGAGAATTCTTTCGTTAATTTTGAACAAGAAGTTATTTAAAGCTATGGCTCTATGAAATAGTTTGAAATAAAATGAACGAATGCGAGTGCTTATAGAACATTTGAAATTATCAATATGAATCTCGTCCCAATTAACAGGGTTAGGGTCAGAAAGTTCTTTCCAGAATGTTCATTTCTTTTCGGGAACATGTGGCTCTAGAATGACATTAAGCATATTTGGGAACCTTCCTAGCTTGCACAAGTGTATTGACAAAGGCATCAACGATTACATCATGATTCAGAGCTGATGAGACCAACCAATCAGAAGGAACATTTTTCATAAGAAAATTGTATTTTCAATATCTTTTTTGGTGTATGAATAGTTAGTCTCTAAATTCTTATAGAAAATAATTTTTCGCTGTTTGAAAATAGAAGATCTTCTAACGCAGTCGCTCTATATTATTTAAAGGGACTTTATTATGCCTAGGTCACATTTGCCGCGGCGGCCGTGTGGTCTAAACTATCTACGTCCAATAGCAATAGGGCCGCCACAGCATTCCCACGGTCACGTATGGGAGCGGTCAGAGATGTAATGGGTAGCCGCAAGGCGTATTTTGAATTTGTGGAGATATAAAATCTGCGGCTGCCGTACGGCCCTTGAAGTGATGACGCACAGTCGTCTAAGGGCGTCCCGGCGGCGGCCGTAGGTTTTTGACAAATACTAAGGCAGACGCAAGGTAACCGCAAGATGCCCGCAATGCGGCCGAAGGGGGACCTGAGGTTGACCGTGCGGCCAGACCGATGCTACCGCTTCACCCCTGAAGTATATAAAACGTAAGGCCACCGTACGACCGACGTACGGTCACCGTAGAACCGCTCTACGACATGGCTATACGGCGTGTCTAATCGCTGCGACGAACCTAGAAATGATAAGAGTTATAACTCCGCGATAGAGATACACCCTCGGGTGACACTGAGGCTACCGCAGAGCCACAAGACTATCTCTCGCTTTCGGGGGCGTACGACCGCCATGTCCTAGCCGTAGAGCAAATGTGACTGATTAGTAACATTGTTCAGATGAGAGAAAATTGTGCTTAGGTAGTGACTTCAATGCTAGATGTACAAATAAAGATAATCTGAAAGTTTGAGTAAAAACAGACCGTTATGAATGATAAAAATTGGGGAAAACTGATCTGATTGATTCCTTAATTCTCCCAACTATATTATTACAATTTTATTACATTTTAGATGAATGTAAATCGTCACAAAGCAATGAATTGGCTGTATATACCATCCCAGACTCTAAAGTGTTGAAAGATTTCTAAAAGCCTTTCTTATGTCTTATTTCTATGGACAAACGGTTGGGAAAATTCAAAAATGGTTGGGAGAATTTACCGTTAAAGGGTGTCGCATAGTGACACCTTCAAAGAAAACCATAACTATCTTTGTGTTTTGAGAGTTTTTTTTTCAGAATTTTGGGCATGTTACAGGGTCAGTACAGTAGAAGGAATAAAATAGGTAACATTTCATACAAAAATTGCGCAATTTTGTTAACAACCTTCAACATTTACCGTGCTTACACAGTGAATCGGTTCGGTGGTTGAACCCTACGAAGAGGGCAACTGTGATCTTGTTTATACGGAAACAAGAAAAAGCGAGTTCAACACGGCCCCAGCGGATCATAATGACGTCACAATGCGGGAAATTTTCCATTCAAATATTCAGCATCAGCAGAGAAGGTATACGCTCTAGCTGGGTTCGACATGGTTCGACATGGCTCGCGAATCACAGAGATCCCGTTCACATATGATGACATAAAACTGCCGTGTTTACACAGTGACTCGGCTCGCGTATTGAACCCCCGAGCCGAGTCACTGTGTAAACACGGTAAATGTTTCCGAGTCGTACTATGTCCCATTTGCAGGCTAAAAAAATGAAAAGGTTAAATTCCAACGGCATTTGAAAGATAATACTAATTTAGAACTTCTCTCTCTCTCTCTCTCTCTCTCTAAAAAAAAAGGGGGGGGGGCTTGAAAATGTCTTTAAGTGGGAAAATAACGACTATTAGTTGTCGAATCGACTTAGGAGCTATAGAGCCAGTAAGGAAAAGTCTGATTTTCAGACCATTGTACCGAATGGTCGTAAGTTTTATGCTGCGCAAAGATTCAATTAGTTTAATTTTGGCCATTACAAGAAGTGGGTTATTGATGTAGACAAAAATGCTCATGAACCCTTTACAGCTCATTTTATGTATGTTATTACCAAGGAGAAAAAAAGCCAGTCAGTCACTAAATAGTGTCTGACAAGGAAGTCTAGCAAGTAAACGGGTTTCTTTGCATAATTTGAACATTAGGACACTGCTAATGTTCAAATTTCACAGATAGGACAGACATGACATATTCACAATTCCTGCAACGTTCCACAGAATTAGATGTTGGCTGCAAAAGGGACCTCCACTTCGAGCACTACAGCGCAACGCGCTTGCACCATTATGCCCGCCGCAGTATATGTCCCCCTCCCCTCTCAACGGATAGGATTGGAAGCGCTACCTCTTAACTCTTATTTTCATATCTATGCCATCTATTATTGCCACAGACCCTGCTTAACCGTTATGGTTTCTCTGACGGGGAACCAAGCACTGATAGCGACATTAAACGAGCTGTAGAGGACTTTCAAGATTTCTATAGCCTTGAACAGACAGGTAAGTTTTTTCGTCTTTTTTTTGGGGGGGGGGGGGGAGGTAGGTATGATATCCAACATTCATCGAGAAAGTTTACATTAAATCAAAATACATTCACATTCATATTGTCTGAACCTCGCGAGTCTTCTCATTCTATTATATCCCTAGTTGGCCACTCAATATTCAAATTTGCATCTTCTTTTTACCTTTATATAACAAATTGAAATCCAACTACCACATAAATCTGTGAATCTTGATGTGCATCCCCTCTTTTTTTTCCCCTTTTCCCAATATTTTTTTCATCCATATTTGTATTATTATGTATCCTTTGAGGGTAGTCATACTATCAAGGTTTGCTTACTTTGTCAACCCTCCTGTTTGATGTTCTCGATTAGTTACAGCCAGCCTTACTTTATTCTGCATATATTCTTTTGTCATGTGTAAATTTGCAATGTTTGTTTGTTATATATTTGTAAAAATGCAAAAGAAAAAGAAAATCAAACAGAAATAAATAAATAAAATAAAATAAAATAAATCAAATTAATACACCAAAAACCCCTGCGTTCATTTCATGATTTGTGAATGTTATAAAAATAAAATAACAATAAATATATTTTGTGGCCAATCATTGCTTCTTATCTTATTGGCGAAACTTGTATTGGATCTGGGTGATTTTTCTTGCACCAAGAAGTTTTCCCATCCATTCACCCCCCCCCCCCCCCCCCCCAATCCTCCCACTCTCTCTTTCTCTCTCTCTCTCTCTCTCTCTCTCTCTCTATCTAACCCATTACCACTATTTGTGTTACTATCTCTCTCTCTCCCTCTCTCACACCTTTTCTCGCCTTATGAATCAGGGAGAAGATGTAATTTTAGAACAATGAAAGAATATGAGGGAGGTGAAAATGAAAATGAAAATAGAAATAGAGACAGGCGAAGAAGAGAAAGGTGAATAGAAAATGAATCAGTATTTGACCATTAAAGGTAAAGACCAGTATTGGAAACGCCCCAATTTCTAAAAATGAAATGGAAGCTCTTATTACCAATCATGTGAAAGAATATGTTTTGATTAATACATGATGATACAAATTTTGCCGGGAAACCGCCTACTAATTGATATATTTTGTAAATTAGTATATCTATTGGTGTGTGAGAGATATAACGCACGTGTGTGTAGTCCCATATACATCTTTCTGTGTACAGTGCTTGTAACTTTACGAAGACTGGGCCAAATTTCTTATCATTTTGATGATTCTAGAACCTTGCAGTACGCACCAATACTTATATGCTAGATGATCAACCTTTTCTGATCGATTCCACAACGTTTCTTTCACAATACAATCGCATGACCATTACTGGTCTTTACCTTTAACCAACTTTGAAACGATTTCAGACAACAGAGAACCGGAACTAGAGCCGACGTCAATAATCGGCTCCCAGTGACAGGAGAGGATCCCTCTCAGTGGATGGGTTAATATGAGAGGGGGTGGGGCCGTGGGGGAATAGGCTTAGGTTCGGTGTCAAAATATAAAGGTAAAGGGCACCGTAATGGGTTGGGAATGAATAAGAAAAAGAGAAAGGTTCGACGGGTGATGGTTAAAAATGATGTTCTTTTATTGTGATGAGAACAGAAAGAAAAATAAGAAGAAAGAAAGAGAGAAGGAGAGATAGAGAGAGAGAGAGAGAGAGAGAAAGAAAGAAAGAGAAATGTGGGGGAAGAGGAAAGAATGAAAGAAAGAAAGACTCAAGAAGTATAAGAAAAAGAAGAAGAAGAAGAAGAAGGAGGAAGATGTCATGGACTAGGAGAATAACAAGATGAAGAGTGCATACGAATTCTGTATTCCTTAAAAGTGAGAAGAACTAACACACCAGGGGGTGTTTTCATAAAGAGTTCGTAAAGTTACGCATGACTTTACGAACGACTTGTATATGAAGTGCCAGATAGGATGCCCAAATTTTTTTTCTGATATTTCCAATAACCTCAATAAAATTATGGCAAAAAATATACTTTGCATTAAAAATGTTTGTTATAATAGGAATGTTAATCTACATCTGCACAGTTCAACTTAATAAATAATAATCAAGAATGATTGAGCATCCTATTTGGCTTTTCATATACAAGTCGTTCGTAAAGTCATGCGTAACTTTACAAACAGCTTTATGAAACACCCCCTGGCTAGATAATGATGAAAAAAAAAAAAAAGAAGAAAACAAAGAAGGCGAATAAGAATAAGAAAAAGAAAAAGAAGAAGGAAGAAAGAAAGAAAGAAAGAAGAGCGGGTACGAATTAGTTTAACTTTGCCGAGGCTAGAAGATTAAGGATTCTGGCTAGGTAATGAAGAAGTAGAAGATGAACAAGAAAAAAAAATACGAATGAAAGAGACAGCGATTTCAAAAAGTAGAAAGACAGAAAGAAACCGTTTTAAATCAAATACTTAACCGAGGAAAGAAAAAGGCTCCTCGCTAGATAAATGAGTAGAAGAAGAACACGACGAAGAAAGAAAAAAAAAGAGAGAGAAAAAAAAGCAAATAAGAAAGAAAAGGAAAGTAAGAAAGAAGGAGGAGGAGGAAGAAAACGAAGAAAACGAAACGTAATGCATGTTACAAGCTTATAGTAAACTATTGTCAGTTTGTAACCTAGGTGTTCGAAGTTACAAACCGTACAAACACTCGATAATAATATTAAAGGGGAAGTCCACCTTGATATTGGTTTGGTTTTAATATAAGAAAAAAATGAAAGAAACATTGAATGGAGATGGTGATGATGATGAGGATGATGTTGAAAATGAAAATGAAAATATGTTAAAGTAAATATGGCTGACACAGAAAACTTATAAAAGTATACGGGAGATACAAATTATAGTAATGGATGTTTATAGAAATCTGGAAATAATATTGAGTATTAATTCAGCACTGGGAAAGGATCAAATGATGTACTCTGATGACAGAAATGCTTTCTTCGTATTGAATTTAAATGTTTTTAGGGTTTTACTTGATTTTATTGAGTCTTGGAATGCATTACATAGATCCGGACCATGATCTCTTATTGATTTATACATGATCAATAATTTAGGTAAGAATGGACAGTGTTATTTGATACGAACAAATTCTCAATGATTTAGGAACAGGTTATTCATGAATTTAAACATAAGGATCACATTCTGTTGTACGTCAATTTCAACAATTGTCAGATGTCTGATGACAACTTCGAAAATTCATAACTTTCCAATTTTTTATCGGATACTGCTCAATGTTCAATAATTTGTTTATCTCATTTTTATGCTGTTATTAAAAAATCAACTTGATATCAGGGTATAATTAACCTTTGTTTTACCTCATTTATTTGTCTTGCCAAAATATGTCGAACTAAATTGTTTATCTGAAGACCATTGTTTGCTGTGAATCATTGACAAAAAAATTTTGTCCTTCTTTGGCAAAACGTGAAGGCCCCTTTTATGGTTGCGTTTCATCCCCCTTCCGCTTGTGATACATTGGACAGTACACCACAAATGATTACCATGGCTTCGGGGTATTGACAATGAGTGCACGCATTCCGCATGGGTGGTAGTGGGAAAGAGCTAGAAATATCAAGCTAAGCAAATATTATTGAGAATCAGATTAATCAGTTAATCAAATATTCAAAGTTATCAGTTCAAACATATTCATCATTTGCGTTGAAGGTTAAACGTGTATTTACCAAAGAGGAGAATATTTTGAGCAAAAAATGTCTCTCTCCCCATTTATTTTATTTATTTATTTGTTTTATGTAAACAGAGTACTGCTCTCGCAGTTTTAATACTGTTTTTTCTAAGAGGCCTTGTACACAAAAGGGGATTACAAATACAGGAAATAACAAATAAGTTTAAGGACATATACATGATTATATTATTATTATTATTATTATTATTTATATACTGCGCTTTTCCCAGAGCGGCCCAAAGCTATATATATCAGGGTTATTTGTTTGTTTTGTTTATAGTTATTACATAACCCCAACATATAAAACAAAACATATGGCAACCTATCGAATAGATCAATATTAATATAAACATAAACATCAGGGACAAACTTTTGATTTGTATATGATATAGAAGATATCATGGGCTCTATACCGTTTTACATAAACAAGAAAAGAACAAATTTTCATGAGAGTGGAATATAGTAACAGGAACCAATCTTATCTCTCTATCTCTCTCTTTCTCTCCTTCTCTCTTCTCCCTACTCCATAATAAACAATAACATGCGATAATCTGGTTATTCTTTTATTGTTTATGCTAAGTTTCCTAAATTCCAGACTATATCGATAAAAGTTAACAACGTCCAGTATAAAGAGACTCCGGGCTATCTCTCACTTCCCTTTCTCCCCCTCTCTCTACCCCCCTCTCTCTCTCTCTCTCTCTCTATGTCTATCTCTCTTTCCAGGGGACAGAGGTCTCATACTCGGTGGATGAAATGCGAATTGACAAGACGTTGATTACCCCCTCCCCCACACACACACACATCTTTGCCCCCCTTGTTTCTTTTTATCCCTTTCTCAATTTTATACTTTTCCACCTAGTCGGGGCACTTACGTGCCTTCTATATCTACGTCACTGTATAATCCGAGTATAGTCCAAGGAAAAAATATACCGACGGCCTACCTCTTTAGCAAATGTTCAAAAAGATATTACCAGTTTTAGATCATGGTTCTTCCTTCAAGTCTTCCTGGATGGCTTACTTCGTTCCTACGGGTCTTCGCGTCTTCGGGTAACATGAACAATCGTGCATTTTGAAGCGCTCATTCTCGAAGGGTCGGGCGTGACGTTTGTGAAATGCACCCCCGTTTCATCATTAATGTGTTGGGTCCTGTTTACCCGGACTCTTTCTGAAAAAGCTACGAAAACTCGCATCTCAACCCGGCTTTAAAAAAAAATACTCACAAGAGTTCGTAAAATGCTAGCTATCGACAACACCCCCATTGTATGGGCATCTTTTCTTGATTGCACATGCAAAAAGATTAGGCTTATCTCAAGGACCATCTTTGA